GAGTCTGTGTAGTTCAGTGGTGTTATCTGTCTCAACGCAGAGGTTGGAGGGATCTGTTCCAGGATAATTATAAAACCAACCATCCACACCAACAAAGGCAAAAAGGACTGGCCGTATAGAGGCTCAGCGAGTAGGACTAACAAGGCAGTTTGGTTTAGACATTAGACATGATATACAGGAGTGAGTTCAAATAAAAAACAACAAGCGAAATAATCAAAGAACATCCAACCTACAGTCATTAATGTTTTCAATTCACTGAAAAAGTCCAAAGCTGCAAGAGGAGCTGCTGTCAGTCCGTGGAATATTCCGGAACGTTTGGGAGACTTTTGGACATCTGCCATTGTACTCAAGCTGAGTTAAACTTACTATATACAAACTACTACCACACCTTATGCCAAACTGTTCCATCCAAGCCTAGATTAGTCACAAGTTAGTTACAAGTGTTTGAACGATATTGACATATCGGCATATCTACAAAAAAGTTAATATTGGTCATCCTTAATTCTAACCCAGCTGATAGTACTTAGGAAAAAGACACAATTTTGAACAACTTCAACGTCATTTCTCTGTAATAAGTTGACAGAACAGGGGAAACAGAACACAGAACCAGCCAATGTTAAAAGATGTCTGGACAACTACAAAGACTCTGAGGGATAATAAAGCTCAGTAATGACAAGTTAAATGTTATCATTATGAAATATTTGGAGTCGTAGATATGTATTAAAATTTTGACAGATTCATACAGCAGCACAGGGACCACACATATGTAGTAACACAAGGATCTTTAGTATGCTAGCATCTCAGTCAGGTACAGTCCAACCCCCTTTGTTTAAATCCTGATGATACCTCTTCAAACCTGCTTAGTGCAGTTCCTCTAATCTCAATAAGATGTTCCAGTCTGTGCAATAAAACACGGGATCAATAGTATCAGATGCAGCACCAGCATCAGCAGTTCAGGAAATATGGAGGCTAACTTATGTGCGTCAGATGGACATGGATTAATGTGCACGCGTGTTGCCGTCGGGGTCGCCTTCAGCTTGTATGGTAACAGTTCATTTGGAGCTGCACATTTGCAGTGAGTCACGGTGTCACGGCGAAGCCAAATCTGCAGTTTACAGGGACGGTTTGATAACCGTCTGCTGGAGAAGCTCCCAGGCATGACACAGCAGGAAGGGCAAAGTCTTAATGACTGGAAATGCACTGCTGTGCTCTCTCTCCCCCTCTCCCTCTCTCTCCACTGACGCCAGTATTAGAATATTTCCATCCCTCACGGCTATGCCTCTGAGCTGGTGCCCTCATTGCCTCTGAAAACTGCTGCCTGTTCATTGGCCCTACTTTTCTGATCAGAGTGATGCTGCTTTTCATATCATTAGACTGTGACTGGACATTTGAAGTGTCCAGCTGTAATTATCAGTCCTGTGATGATTCATCAGTTCTATTCTCAGGCTGAGGAGTGACCCAGGTCTGTGAAGGCTCCACCCTGATAAGGTTCTCCTTAATGAGCTGATGTGGGAGCAGGGCTGGTGCTGTTATGGCTTATCAGGACATACCTGGAAGAGTGTGCAGTTTTGGTTCTAATTGAGCAACAACGACGACCAGTATTTCTTATCACTTTGCATGAAAACCAGAAAAAATATTAAAAATGAGATAAAAGATAAATGGTAGTCAAATAGCAACCACTTGGTTTAAAATGCTGTTAAATATAAGCAAACAAATGCCATGAGTGGAATAAAAAAAACAATTGAGCCTAAAGTTAGCATAGAGACAGCCAAAAACATTTGCCAAAACTGAAGAGTAGAGAGAACATTTCCCAAAATAAAGCCAAAATATTATAGCTAACAACTAACTAGGACTTTATACACAAAGTAGAGTGAAATTAGGACAGAAGTGACCGGAGGTATTTGCAAATTGTTATAAAAGCCTTGTGTGAAACAGCTAAATATTTGCTAAGACAAAATTCCAACTGATGGTTAACTTGAGGCCTCACGATCAGTGGTTAGTCTGTAAAGTAGGAAGTCCTGGAGCGGACAAAATGGGTGGTAAGTAATGTTTAATTTTGCGAGGTGTCAGATCCTGTTCCAGATCAAATTAAACCCTGTTCACAATTAGGTATTACATTCTAAACTGGTTTCTGTTCCCATTTCTGTGGCCTGGCTGTAAAACACAGATGGGAAAAGTGAATGTTAAAAAGAAGCTCAGTGTGTGAAACACCTAACTCCTAACCACGACATGATGCAACACTCTATTCCTCCATATTCCACTTAACATTGCAAGTTATCTAAAGAAACAATAGGTCATTATGCAGTATTTTAAGCGTATTTTTAGGGATACAGTAAACCCTTGTTTTTCGCGGGGGTTACGTTCCAAAAAGAACCCGTGATAGGCAAAATCCGTAAAGTAGAAATCTTTATTTTTTTTACAATTAAATACTCAGAAAAAGAAGAGAAAGAACGAACAAACCATTTTACAGTCTCAACCATTTGTTTCACAAATAAAGTAAAATAAAAGTACTTTAGAAACGTTTCAACAAATAACTTCTGTAATGTACTGTCAAATAATAATTTTAATCATCAACGTGAACAGAAGGCTTCAAATTGCGGAGATTAGCACCGCCCACCGTGAACGGGAGAAAATTAAAAATGATTATGAAAAAAATACAAATTACCTGGTCTTGTTGCGGGCAGTTGCAACCCTTTTTGAATCCTTATTAAAACTTATTGCTGCTGTCTTCCTTATGTTTTTTTCTTCCTTCTTTATGGAACGAACGGAAGATTCATTAATTCCATAATGCCGACCTACAGCCGCATAGCTTTTACCTTCATTTAGCATGTCCAATAGTTTTACTTTATCACCGATAGACAGCATCTTCCGCTGCCTTTTGGTCCCTACCGCAGGTACTTTTGCCGGTCCAGAGCGTTTTGTCGACATTATGGGGTTTGATAAACTCGAAATTGCAAGAGAATTTGCACGTACGTAATGTCAATTTGGCAAGCTGTTTTACGTACGTGTACATATTAAACCGCAACGTTATTGGCGCACAGGTAGAGAAGAAGCGGAGTGACTTTTTAGCCAATCAGAATGCAGAACACAATGCACGATGCAAATCCGTGAAGTAGCGAAACCGTGAAAAGTAAACCGCGTTATAGCAAGGGATCACTGTATATCCAAATTGAGTTGTTCTTTATGAAAAGCTTTAGAGGGAAACCAAAATTGGAAGATTATTTATATATGTGGCCTTGTGTGATCATGTAGTTCTACACAAATGACCACAATGGCTAGAATGGGACCAGCCACGAGGCATAAATGATTACATGGATTATCATTGAATCCAGAATCTCAGACTTCACAGTCCTCATTTCCAGGACTTTGTGTTGGTTTTTGGTTTCAGACTGCAGTCATTTGAATGAAAAGTAAAGAGGACGGAAATGCGTGGGGGGAAAAAAGACAAGTCTGGACGTTTCCACAGGGATCTTCACATCACTACATCTGCATAACAGTGCCTTCCTGTGGTCACCTTGGGAAACTACACCCGAACTATAAACGGAACAGGAGACATCTTTAGAATGTTGTAAGCGGCAGGACGATAAGATGCGCAGGAAATATATATTGATTTATCTGTCACTTCTTCTGCATAAAAACAGATGAAAAGGTGTAGGAGAGAAGAAGAAGGAGCTGAAAGTGTGGCATTTGCCAATTCAACCTACAACACGTCCTGTGAGAAGGACGGTAAAGATTCATCATACTGGATCAGGGCAAATATTTAATTAACATTTACATATAGAGTCTGTAAAAACAGTTGCACGAGGACATGGTAGAGGGCAAAAAAAGTTTGTACATGTTTTAAATGAATGAGAGAGTACAAATGTCCTATTATCTCGTAGTGATGATTAAATGTCTTAGATATTAGTCAAAGATTAATTAGAACATTTTAATAAAATTGACAATGCATTGCAGTGTCATGCATGCACAAATTCAACAAAATTCTTTCTACAGGAGCAGGAGAGGAGGTAGACCGACACCAAGTCCATCCTTTTACAGCTCTTAACAGTTTGTTCTTTGGTCTTAGTTTAAAAAAATACCCCATTTCATTAGATCTAGCACACATATTCATATGCAAATCAACAACGTTAGCTTATACCAGGCAGGTCCAAGCTCTGGGCTGCGGCCCAATCATGGCACATAGACAGGCTTTACCTTTTTTGTAAAATCTCTGAAATGAACTGAATGTTATATTATTTTTGGCAGATTCTTCAGCTAAATCGTGTCATATAAAAGCTTAAAATAAAACATTTTATAGAATAAATGGTTGTACAAATTGTGGTATAAATTAAAAAAAGCTTGAAACATGATTTACTGAGGCTCATAGAGAAAAGAAACAAAAAAAAAACCCTAAAACATATGGTCAAAATATTTCAAAAATAACTATTTAATAATAATAATTTTAAGTATTATTTTAACCATTTGCTGCAACAGTTGAACATTCTTTTCCAAGATTGCACTGGTTTGTATTTTTCCATGTACAGAGTATAACATTTATTGTTCCTTACTCAAAGAAGGAGCAACTGGGTCCAGAAATGTGCAGAAAAACTTTGTACCATCTAAAATATTCCTTGCTATTAAACCATTGCTATGGAATTAAACACTTTGTTTGTGTTTTAGATATAAATCTGCCCGTGTAATATTAAAAAACATTTGGTAGCCGTTGCTGTATAGTACAGGACAGTACAGTGCAGTACAGATCCGTGCTGAGCAGCAGAACATCCACTGTACGTTGACTCTACCAGCATAATGTCACTGACAACAGGAAACAAACAAATCTTGCTAATTCAAATGTTCTGACTGTCTCCAGTTTTAACACCATCTGTTTGGATCAGAAAAAGATCCAAACAATGACGAGCAGAAATGCAGCAACAGAAGCAGAAGCAAAAGAAGAAGAATTAGAAGAAGAAGAAGAAGAAGAAAAGAGATCATTACCGGCAGAATGTTCATTTATAGCTTGATGATGCAGTGGAACCATATACTGACGAGTGTGTTTCCTGTCTGTATGGGAATCGTATGGAAAAACCACAGCAGACAGGAAGTGAGGAACACATGACATCGTAACTGAGCTCCTGCGAGTCAGTCTGAGCGATTTGCTTTCAGTCGATGTTTCCTCAAATTGTAATTTGATAATTGTAATTGCCGTTTGACATTTTCATAATGACTTTAGGTTCACAGTCATCAGCAGCGGTGAGGTTCATAGATAGACGATGATGGGACAAGCACAGCACACAGATCTTTTCATTTCTCGACTGCTTTATCCTCCCAAAAAAGCCGTTAGTTCAAAAAGGCTGTCGGGCCAATGTTGAGACTAATCAACCAAGAAGCTCCAGCACCACAATAAACAGAATGTGTGTGTTTGTGTAGCTTTACTGGTACGAGCCATTTTATCAGAGGAGCTGAGCAGTGTAAAAAAAAATACCTAGACCTAGCTATAATCTGTACATTAGATATATATATATATATAAAATATAAAATGTTCTCTTTTTGTGTAAAATCTAATTTTAGAGCTCTTGCTTATATACTCAGGATTGTAATCACAAATAGACTCTAGAATGTAAAATAAAAATATATTTTAGGGACACATAATTTCTGTCTTCTCTGACACTTTTAGTCTCAGACTTTTTTTGTTGCCAAGAACTCCTACCTATATATTTATATACAGTATATGTATTTAGATGTGTATGTATGTATATCATATACATGTAAATATATTTTAGAGAAAATCTCTAAACAAAGCATTTCTTAATTATTGACTTTGCTGTTAGTAATTTCGAAAAAGTAAAATAAAATATATGACTTAACATTGAAATGTTGAAAGAACTGAGTGCTATCCAAAAAAAAAGTTCATTATTAGAAGAGACAGAACAAATGAACTTCTATAATATTTTCACTCGCATAACTTTAAAGTTTTCTAGGATTTAATATGAAAGTGTCAAATACTGTTTTGAACTTTAGGACACAAACACTAGGATGTTTAGTTACATATACTTCATATATTGCACTTCCAATAAGTTATTGAGCATAGTGAGGTCCCACACCTTTCCTTGAACCACTGAATTTTCTCCCATTATAATTGTGCTAGAACCTCCACACTGGATCTTCCAGCAGTAAGTTTTCCATTCTATCTACAGTGGTGTCCTGATTATCACTTATCTCTAACTCAACCACTACATAACCGTCCTTTTCTACCAGTTCAGTCATTTGTTGCAGTATTACTTCAGTTTTGAAGTAATAGAATATAATTCATATTGCACAGTAAGCATGTGGACAAAGCAGTAATTGTACTTCTGGTTTTGTCTACATAAACCCGTTACTTACCAGCTAACTTTAGCCTATGACATGATGCGAACATCATTGTGAGTATAAAATAGAATCAGTGCAATGGTCAGAAAACACGTCCTGCCCTGTCAGAGTGAAGTCCTGTGGTTTGTCACCAGATAAAGCTAAAGCTGAAGGTCAGATGTGTTTCTGCTGTTCCCTCTTTTTCATGTGTCCAGTGTTCAATCACACACCTCGTCTACTTCTCAGTCTATTTTTTCACAGGCTTGTAAAACCAGACGGTTAAAGTCTCCTGGCTGGTCTGCGTACACGTAGTGTCCGGCTCCACGGATTGTCTGCAGGGAGGAGAACAGGAAGTGAGGGAATTAGAAAATGAAGGAAAGCACCAGGTTACATTTAATAGTAACTAACAATACGCTCCACAGTTTTTAAGAAATATATCAAGAAAACATCTTATTTTATATTCATACTACATCTTATGAAAACAAAGCTAACAGTAGCTGGCTGTAAATCGCCTAGCACACATTAAGCTGTTGTATTGTTGTATTAAACAGTTGTATTTTCACATTTTACTCTTTTACTAAAGTAAGATAAAACATGAAAAAATATCATATTAATAATAATAACAATAACATTTCAAAAACATTGTAACATCAATAATATTATATTACTAACATTAGTACTGCAGAAAGTAATACGGATGATAACAACAATAATAACCAAACTACAACAACAATAATTATTAGTACTATAATATTATTTTATCAAATAATATTTATATTAATATAATATAATTTTTTTATAAATACTGCATGTTTTGTTAGCAGAAGTACATTGTACAGTATAGAATATTGCTACTTTAGCAGTAGTATTATATATATATATATATATATATATATATAAAACAATTTAAAGAATTACTTCAAACTTGAACTCTGCTTTGAACTCACCATGATTTCAACATGAGAGTTTGGTCTCATGTTTTGGATGATGCTGCCTGAGTTCCCATCTACACTGGACCGTGAGCCGTAGATGACGGTCAGCGGGATGTGAGGCTGCAGCAGGACAATCCTCTGCAGCATCGGCCTCTTAGCCCAGCCGTAGTTAACAGTCATGTTCTTAAAGGCTGTTTCTCCACTGTTGTCACACAAGAGGGGAATGACAATAAAAAATATCATCCTGATAAAAGAAAAAAGAAGAGACCCATCCATCCATTTGTTTCTACTGATATTTACTATGCAGGACTATGGGGGAGCTGGAGCTAATCTCAGCTATCAACAGGTGAGGGAGGGCTACACCCTGGATAGTTCCATAACCACATATGTAGACAGAGTCTTTGGGCTTGTGTAAAATAAAACAATACAATTGCTATTCTTTAGACAGATAATGAAGCAGCAGAGACAGACCTGGGCGTCTGTACATTCAGATGGTAGATGTAATCTGACACTGTGTTGTCGGTGAACATGGAGGAGAACTTCCTCTTGAAGTCAGGCCTCAGAGTTTGGACAAGAGTAGGACCTGTGAGGACCACAGAGGCTGTTTTAGAGACAGGTTCACTTCAATAACTTCATTAGTAGGTTTTCTATATTCCTCTGTGTTCCATGGATCTGTTTTCATTTACTTCCCTTGTGCAACACCATCCCGTACCAGCTTGTTTTTCCAGTCTTACCTAGAGGTCCAACAAGACGCAGACCAGCCAGGGGGTTAAAGGGACTGAACATGGCCCCAAGAGCTTTGATCCAGACAGGAATAGGACGGTCGTCCTCCACAGTGTTAGGGCGTTCAGGAAAACCCCAGGGTTCCACCAGAAAAATGTGCTTCACCCTGCAGTTCACAGAGAGAAAATCAATCGAATTCAACTGGTAAAAAGCATCAAGCATCTGGTAAAAAAAAGGTTAGCCAAGAATATAGCACCTATCAAATATATATCAATGATAATGACAACAATTTCCATTAAACTAATGTTTCATGCAAATATTGCAAAGGATTAGTCAAATGTAGCAATAAAGCTTAAGGTTAGGCAATGAAAGCCTATAAGCTAGAAGAAAAATGCTATGACTGAATTTAAACAGAAAAAAAAATTAGTTAAACCAAGGCAAATATCTTAAAAGTAAAAGTAATGATACAATGATAAAGTATGATACACTGATACTATTTTGTTGTTACTATTTGTTGTCATCCATAAAATTATAGCACAATATCCAGCAGTGACTAAAAGACAGGTCTTTCACTTTTACTGATTTTAAAGTATTCTATTTGTCCAGTTTATGTTGTAGAATACTAGCAATGATATTTTGAGAATATCTTAGGGTCAAGTAATTGCCTCGCTGCACTCCAAGGTTGACTGACACAGTCAACCTTTGAGCAAATATGTGTTGACATCTGCAGGATTTCAACTTCAGGAATAAGCAAACAGCCAAGATTAGGAATGAAGTAATAAGGACAGTCAAACTTAAAGGACCTGGTCAGCAGCATTTTACTGTAAGGACACTAGGAGCATGGTATTAAATATAAGAGGTCAATGAAGGCAAATTATAATGTGGGCGATAAAGGAGGTTGATAATGGATTCAGGACATTAATCAAATTGCAGCAAGCCTGTATTTGCAGACACAGAGGGAGGAAGAGTCCACAGAGATAAAAGATGAATGAAAAGAAACGGCTGTTATCCATGGCTGCCTGCAACTAAATGCTCCACATACATGCTGTACAGAGGCAGGCATGTTTTCCTACTGTCAGGTCAACACTGAAAGGTGACAGTCATGTGACTTGTCCTGTTTATATTTCCATGCATGTACAATAACTGTTGGTGGCTAAATGGCATTGATTTACAGAAAAGTAAGGTTCATACATATTTTTAGTTGTGTTTAATAATAGTGAATGTTGTGCAACAATGTAAAAAGGGTCCTAACTTAAAGGCATTTTAAATATAAAGCCTTCTGACTCTGGCCCAGTAAAGCGATGGCTGACAAACAGATCATCTTATAAAATATTTTGTTCCAAAAAAATCCCAGATCTCAAGGCCATTTTTATCTTTATCTTTAGGTCACAGCAAATAAGAAGAAGAGCAAGACGTACAACATAATCGAAGAGTCCCATTATCATTAAAAACAATACTATATTAATAAAAACAGAGCTCTGATCTACATCAGCTGACGAGAAACTGGAAGAAATTCTGCTGAAAAAATGCTGAACATGAACTAAGATATAATTAAAAGTTGATCTACAGTTATCTAAAACATGGATTTTGAATGTACAGTAGCTAGTTAGCTTATAAATTAGGGAAGGAAGCCTTAGTTTGCCAAATATCTACTAGAGCCAAAGGTCACAAAAACAAAAGCAATAAAACAGTATAGCAATCAATATAAAAAACCCTCAGGAGTTACACAATATTACCAGAATGAAAACTCAAGACAGTAAGAGCTGGCTTTCGATCAGATCAAATTTAGGTAAAAATACAGAAGAAATGGCTCAAGGATTGTTTAGGTTAAGTTTGTTTACGTTCAAATGTTAAGATAAAAATAAACCAAATAAACATAACCAAATAAATGAATAAACCTAATTTCCTGTAGGTTAGTCACCATGTTAATAAGTAACATCATATTGCTTATGAGCATATATTTATTTGGGGTTTGGAGTGATGCACGAAGGCAACACATGATCTTAATGACTGTGCTGGTCTGTATGACTACACAGGCTAAATTACATGAACTTCGCCCCTAATCTCGTTCATTTTATCAGGCTAGATACTGTAATAGTCATAGAATATTGAACAATACCAATTAATATGATTCGTTCTGTGATAAACAACATTAAACTTTTGTCTAAAGACTGACATCTGCACCTGCCTGTTTGGGTACTTGATGCCATATGACACTGCCAGGTATCCTCCGAGGTTATGTCCCAGCAGTATCATGGACTCCAATCCCATTTTCGTCCTCCATTGTTCTATGGACTCCACAAACTGATTTTCAGCCAGTCGGGCATCTGAGGAAAATGATGGTCTACTGCTCTGACCGAATCCCAGCAAATCCAAGGCAAAAACAGATCGATGCTGACAAAGAGCATCTAAGTTCTGAGCCCAAAGGCCAACACCACCTCCAAACCCATGGAGCAGAACCATTGGGGTTTTATGTTTGTGACTGGTGTTACTAAAAACCAATGTCCATATAAGGTTGCCACTGGAAATTGGGATGTACTGTTTGGTGAAAGGGCTGTTCACACCTGAATAATCAAAAAAAAAATCAAATCAAAAGTCAAATCATCACACTACAAACCAGTCAGATGTGAAGTGATTCTTACATCTAAGCATCATGTCTTCTGCTTTCTGTAGCTGTGTCTGAGAGGTAGGACACCACGAAGGCAACCAGTTAGGAATCCAACACCATCTAAGAAGATGAAAAACATGTATTAACAGTACAGAAAGACTCGTAGTGCCACTAGAGTACAGGTAATTTCCTAAAAAAAAACCTAAAACATTATAAACAGATCCTACACTGACCTAATTAATTATAGTTTGAAAATATTGCCTACTACTGCCAGCAATCTTTATGCCAGCAATAGAGATTGATGCAGTTCCTGCCTTGTCCAGTCGCTCTGTGTTTTGTGTGTAAATTCTGACTAATGTCTAATGACCTTGAGGGTCACCTTATTTTCCAGCTAATTAGGGGCTAATTAGTAACTGTCTGTTGTTGAACTGAACATGTCAAAGAATGAAACTATAATCATTCAGATTCACCAAAGACAGCTATTCTAACAAAAGTTGTTCAAGATCATAAATCAGTCTAATGTGGCTAAACTGTGTCAGAGTTACATTACAATATGCCCAACTGTAAATCTCTACCTTTAGGGGGCTCCACTTGGAGCTCTGTGTGTCCTTTATTATTATTTTGACAAAATACCTGGACAAAACCTACTTACTTAACTGTCGTGTCCACACATCCATACAAACTACGGACAATACTGTTTACACCGACAGCAGACAGAACTCTGCGAACCACCCTGAGGAAAATGAAACCAAATGTCAGTCATGAACATCATTATCATCATGTCACCTTCTATAATACAAAAATGTAAAAAAAAGTAAACGGAGACGTGTTTTTCAGTTAGCGTGGTAGCCTGGCGAATCTTAAATGCTAGCATTATGCAATGTTTTGACAGTGTTTTTATGTTCATGTGTTTGTTGACTGCAAATTAAAGCTTCTGCTTGACTCCTTTACAACTTTCGAAAAACACAATTTCAGTCTACAAACAATAGTTATTTTCACGCTTTTAAATGTTGTTTACGTATTACGATGAAATAGCGAAAATGCTGATGTTAGCGTTATGAACATTAGGTACTTTGGAAACAAAACACTCACCCTCCGTCCTCCTGCTCAGCCATATTTCAACAACTGTTCCGCGGTCACGTGTCCGGCTACTCTCTCGAGTCTCCACAACGTTTGGAGTTGTTTGATTTGGTTTTCAGCTGTTCACCTGGAACGCGAATGTTCCGCCCTTCTTTTTTCTCTGGTACAGAAATCAAGTGCACCCAAAGAGCAGCGCAACGTAATGCGGAAGTAGCCGCTCGTACAGGGAGGAAAATCTAAACATTGGTGTTTGTAGAGGAGACAGCAGTGGTAAGGAGATCAAAAATATATTTTTTATTTGTTTTAACAGTGCCTTAATCGTGTTGTGTTTATAGTGATTTTTGCTCTATTTTTCTCTCCGATATATCCGTAAAGTTGTCTGTTTATAAAAAAACAGTGACAGACGCAGTGCCTGTACAGTGTTACTTCAGAGCTTAACCGTGTTTGTGAACCTGCTGGTACAGAGCTTTATTATTTGTTCCAGTAACATTTAAAAGAAAAAAAATTATTAATAACAGTATTTAAAAAATCCTTGTAAGTACACCATGTAATAGCTATTGCAGTGATTGCTAAAGGACGGGTCACAACCCTGTATTAGGTTGATGTGGTTATCATCTGGTTTTGAAGTCAACAGAACATGCTCTTCACTTTAAAAACACGTTGCTGTTTTCTGTGTTGGAACATTACAGTGGGTGTGAGATAACACTTAAATAGCTAACTTACATGAGAAGGATTGGATAGTTTTGCTACATGAACAGTGGGAAAGAATGACAGAATGACTCCTAGTGCTGCAATAAACAGAGACATGTTTCATAAAAATAATTTAAAAATCAATTAATTTAAAAACCCTTGACTTTTGTGAAACATAATTTTTTTGCCATGTTTTATGGATTATTAAAACATGTACATGTGCATAAATATATTTGTGAAATGTGTATGTAATATTTGGAAGAGGGTGTAGGTAATATAAGAGTTATCATCTGATATAGACATTATGGAAATGTAACTGGCTAAGTTTTTTCATTAGGTCTTTCTCAGTTTTCACACAAAATGTTCCTTCTTGCCAGGCACCCAACAATCACATGATTAGAAAAATATATTTTTAATAATTATTTATACATCCACTAAGCTGATATTATTAGTAAAAATGCACACAACTCCTGCTTGCAATTTCTGACTAGCTTAATGTAGATGCTGTATTTTACTTTGTTTTATAAAAATGTTTCAATAATGGCTTCACTTTAGGCCAAATACTTGTGATGATGTCTTGTAGAGTTCTACTACACAGGTTCTGCAGCTGGGGTTTTATTTGGTAATTAAAGTTGTAAAAGTGGTCAAATGATAATTTAATCTAACCTGATTCTAATTTTGTCAATTGTTCAATTATAAAATGGACATAGTTTATGTGACAGTACCAGTAAGGGCATAAAGAAGGACCAGCATTATACAGAGGGCATTGGTGGGTGTGACATCTGTGGACTACTGCTGCACACTCCAGTGACGTGGAACATAACTGAAGTCCACTAGGTGCAGTGAAGTCTACAGACACTACAACAGTACATGGACAGGAGGGTTTCTCACTGATCTGACTGTTCACAGATCAGCAGAGGCAGCTCCCGCCTCAAGGCTGGAACAAGGCTGGTTCATCCAAACTGAGACACAGACTTGGGTGAGTACATGGTTTCCTTCATTCACAGACACACACACACACACACACACACACACACACAGAGGCTCTCCAGTGCCTTCTACCGTTTATAATACACTCTCCCTCTCACACTCACACCCCTCTCTTGCCCCCCTCCCCCCATGTGTCTGGGAGTTACCCAGCTGTTACTGTCAGTTCACGGCCTGTCATCTGTTTTCCACACAGGTTCTGGTTTATGACTCTACTATAAATCAATTCACCCCAGTAATTTAATCTGTAATGGTCAGGTATTGGACTCAGGAGGTAAATGTCACACTAGTTTTTTAGTTCATACTTGGGTGTAACACTGTGACACACCTTATTTGAGCCTGTCGCTAACATGTCAAGTGTACTTACTTGACTGGTCTTGGCCCAGATAACAGCTCATGTTATGTCGTTATGCCCCAAGGAAAATGATATCAGCAGCGACTGGGATAGAAACACAGAGACGCCTTGGAGGATGTTTGTTTTCATTGAGATATATAATTAATTCAACCAGACGTGTTACTCTTTTGTCATATATACATAATATATATATAATCTGCTACTTTCTGACAGTTTTCTTTAAATATTTGTGTTAAGCCAATAGATGGATCTGCATTTTCTGACAGGCCAGTGACAGTTGACCACCCAATCAAATTTGCAGTTATATCAAACTATTTTTGTTCTGAGTCAAACAAGTACAAAACACTAAAGGTATGGGAATTTGGCCAAAAATGTGCTTTTTACTGTGTACTGGCCCTAAATCTACAACAATTGCTTAGTGTTTGTCAAAGAACAACCATATGAAGTCAAGCTATTAATGAGTGTTAGCTTTGGGTTCCAAATTGCCCTTAAAACATTTACTTGTTTACTAAAATAAAAATATAAAAATGTCACAACATTTCTTCAACTGCCACAAATAGCCCAAGTGACATGACTTCTAAAATCAGGGTCCAGCCCACACTTACTACTCCAGTGTGGTCAATGTTGTATCAGTGCAGCCAATTGTCCTCTTGACAAACAGGCAGTGAAACGTGACAGGATCTCTGCTGCTGAAGATCAGTGTTTTTAGTAGTTCCTAAGAGGTCATTATCTGTGCTTGCTTGCACTTTGACCTTTCTTTATTGACACGTGGTTTTTGATCAAACAGTGCTCGCTTGTTGTGTTTTTCCCCATATATGTCTAAAAGTGACATCTGAAGAAACCAGGAGGTTCACAGAGATGGTCAATAATCAGCTTTTAGTTCTCATGTCTTTGTCTCAAATATTCCAGAGGAGGCTCAGAGGATGGAGGGCTCAGGAGACAACAGCAGTCCAGGCTTTACTCCTCTAGTGGTACTGGAGCTGGCCTCAGACACCAAAGAGGAGGCCATACAATGGCTACTGAACCGGATAGAAGATTCCCAACAAAATGGAGGTGGGTTTTTATATGCTCTGTCTTTTCCTTTTCACTGTATTGACACCACATCACAAGCAGTGTAACTTTTTCTGCCAGGTGCTGAACTATTAGTGAAACAGCTAGGTCCTGGAGTCAGTGCTGAGGAGAAGGAGAACCCTAACATATTCCTGGTGGGATCCTCAAGGCAAAGGCTGCTCTCTGGTGCTGAGGACGTTGGTCTATTCAAGGAGTTCAGCGATGGATCCATGAGGGCCTTCACCTGTGCTAACAAGCACAACTTTAGAGATTTTAAAGGTGAAGATGACAATCTCACGGGTCTTTGTCCGTGTTTCATTTGCATAGATCCTGGTGCTAGGACATTGATGACTTCTGATTTTTTCATGTTGACTAATCTGAAAATAAAGTTTAAGTATAGTCAACAAGTCATTTAATGATGTCATCAAATTGACAGTGGAGAAACTACATAGACACAGAAGTCCAACGATGAGCAGGTAGCTTTTGCTAATGGAGAGAACACAGAAAAAACATTTGTTCTATCAGCTCCCACTGTTTCATCCTCCAGGAAAGACTCCACAGAGTCTGATTATAACTCTTGGTTAAGTCGAGGATAAAATATCAGCGTAAGTCAATCAGAGGTAAAGGGTGCATTAGCAGACATGAAGAAACATACACATCTTTTTAAATTCTCCCAGAAGACAGGTTAACACATTTACAAATCCTTTTATCTGTTATTGCCCTACCTGGTAATATTTTGTCATTAACGCCTACATTTATGTGAAGCTTCATCATTGAAAATTAAAAAATCTACTATGTGACTTCCAGGAGACGGAGACAGCTTCTTCAGCATGGCTGAATGTCAGTACATCGTCAAACATGAATTGGACACGTTGAGAGCCAAAGATGAAACTCATGTTCCAGGACACTCACAGGTCAAACTCTACCCAGGAAAATCCATCAGTAAGTGTCTGTAAACTTCACACACTCCCTGACTGTAGACCAACAGGTATAAGATAATAATAATAATAATAATAATAATAATAATAATAATAATAATAATAATAATAATCATCATAATAATCATAATAATAATAGTTGTTATTATTACAATATTATGTGTTGATCAGAGTGGTGCTTTTCCAGGCAGGAAGTACTGCCAGAAACAGGAAGTACTGCCAGAAACGTAATAAATAAATGAACAACTGTACCAATTAGTACTACTGTTCTAAAGATAAATAAATTCTACCCAAGACCTAATGTATTTCTGTGCTGCATTTAATGCATTATGTTCAGCCTGATGTTCAGCTCCTTAATATTAAAGGCTCTAAGTTGTAATTAAAGAAGGCAGTTAAACTCGGAGTGACCTCCCTGCCTCTCTCTCTGCCCCTGCATTAGCTACCATACAGAAACAATAAAAATGCAAATGCACTGAAGTATTTCCAAGGCCAGATAAGAAAAGCAATTCACTTTCATTGCTCTTATTGTGTCTCCATTCAGCGTCATGTTTTACAAACTGCAGAATGTAATCATTGTAGACAAATGATGCTCTCAGGAAACGGCAGATAAAACGACAGCGCTTTCATGCACTTGTATTGTGTCACTTTGTCTTAGGAAGCGTGTTGCTCCATTGCATTGTTTACATTATTGGGCCAGTACACTGTCATTATGTTCCTGTCTTCTAGACCATTTTTTTTAATTTAAGCTGAAAATCCTCAAGGTCATTATTATGATTTTGAATATTTTTTTAGGCATACAACTTAAAATTGATTACTGTCGTAACAGGTTGTTTCCTCTTTGTGACAGTTCGCAGACTACAGTCCAAAGGGATTCTGATCCAAATGTTCCCTCTTCATGAGAAGGAGGAGTTGAAAAGACTTTGTTTCTCTTGGTATAAAAAGGTCAAGTTTACTTTTCAGCCTCTAGGTGAGCCCTGTCCTATTTCTGATATTCATTGAGTCAGTTCTGTTGGTGCAGGGGTCAGTGTCAGTATTTGAATGTCTTCATGCCTTTTTTGTTCTTAGATGACATCAGACATTACTTCGGTGAAGGCCAGGCCTTCTACTTTGGTTTCCTGGAGTATTTCACCTTTGCCCTCTTACCCATGGCCCTCATCGGGCTTCCGTATTATCTGTTTGACTGGGAGGACTACGATAAATATGTAGTCTTTGCCGTCTTTAACCTGGTTTGGTGCACTGTTATTTTAGAGGTATGGTATGACTTTTATCTACAGTGTTTTATAAACACCTTGAAGGTAGATTTTGTGAGAATTTTGGAGTTACTGTTGCAAAGGGAGCATGTAGTTGCCCACACTGCCCTACAGGTGGCTCATTAGAATGGTCATTAAGTAATTTAGATGAATGACTAATTAACTAACTAATTCATACCAGGTTTATAGGCAGAAGAGTGCATTTTGTTTCAGCTAAATGAAATACTAAGGTAATGTTAGCTAACTGTTATCCTCTACAGTTGTGGAAGCGCTGCAGTGCCTCTCTAGCCTATCGCTGGGGAACCTTGAGTAGAAAAAGAGCCTTTGAAGAACCCCGACCCGGTTTCCACGGGATCCTGGGCTTCAACCCTGTGACAGGCCGGGAGGAGCCTCTTTACCCCACCGCTAAAAGGCATCTCCGCATCTACCTTGTGTCTCTGCCCTTCGTCCTGCTCTGCCTCTACATGTCCCTCTACGTTATGATGATCTACTTCAGGATGGAGGGGTGGGCTCTGTCCATCCACAGTGAGGAGCCCACCTTCTGGACAGAGATCCTGTTGTACATCCCCAGTGTGATCTACGCTGTGGTCATAGAGATCATGAACCTCCTCTACAGATACGCTGCTGAGTTCCTCACAGAGTGGGGTGAGTTTGAACCTTTGCTGTCTGCTACGTTATTGTTGGTCTCTACATTTTTAAATTAAAATCAATTTTGTTTGTTTGTTTAGAAAATCACAGACTCGAGTCGTCATATCAAAACCATTTAGTCCTTAAAGTGTTGGTGGTAAGTATGTGTTGTTGTTTTGAGTTATTGCCAGTTTCCTCCCACATTGTTTGAATTTAAACATCACTGTTCACAGCCAGTGTCTCTAACTTTCCTCTAGTTCAACTTCTTCAACTGCTTCGCCTCACTGTTCTACATCGCCTTCATCATGCACGACATGGCGCTGCTCAGACAGGTGTGTGTGTGTGTGTCTTCTCCGACTCCTCAGGTTCCATTCCTTTCAGTGTGTGAATTGTGTCCTGGTCGTTTTTTTTTTTATTCCTCCTGCCTCCTCCAGAGTCTGGCCACGCTGTTGCTCACCAGTCAGATCCTGAATCAATTCATGGAGGCCTTTCTGCCGTACTGGCTGCAGAGGAGACGCAACAAGAAGATGATCCACAAATTGAAGAGGAGGAGAACTCTGGAGGACAAAGAGCTGCCGCTGGAGGAGCAGGTTCGACTGGAGGCAAGCATGAGCACGTACTTGGTAGGTTTTCACGGTTCCTCTTCCATCATTCAACCTCCAGGTCGTAATCAGCTGTGTATTTTTAGTCCCGTAGTACCGTGGGTGTTCCTTTCCTTCCCACAGGGAACGTTTGACGACTACCTGGAGCAGTTCCTGCTGTTCGGTTACGTCAGCCTGTTCTCCTGCGTCTACCCTCTGGCTGCTGTGCTGGTGGTGCTCAACAACATCACCGAGGTTTACTCCGATGCCTTCAAGATGTGCCGCGTGTTCAAGCGACCGTTCTCTGACCCCGCTGCAAATATAGGAGTCTGGCAGGTGATGCTGCACAGATGTCAGCAGACAGTACATCTCTAAATATAGATAAGATATAAGATATTTTTAAACTATCTCACATAAATATCTCCACATTTTTACACTTAATTATGTTTTTATTTTTTTTAGCAAAGTTATTCAGAGGCACAAAAACATCTTTTGTTTTTAATCAGTGACACTGTTTTTTTACATACACACCCGGTTTATTCTGTAATTCAACCGATGAGAATTGTCACGCATTTGTATCAATTTTTAATCGATTCACGATGCCACCCTTGACTGTCACTGTCTTCACTTTATCACATTTTTCCCAGCTTGCCTTTGAGGCCATGAGTGTCATTGCTGTGGTGACCAACTTCGCTCTAATCGGCATGTCGCCACAAGTCCGAGCTTACTTCCCCGAGTCAGAGACGCATCTTATACTGTGGACGGTGGCTATTGAGGTAAGCAGTAAATCCTGCTCACAATAATACCAAGCTAATAGATCTTTATAGTCAACAGTTTGGAGAAATTGATGTGATTTTTGTTAAAGGCAGAAACCTGTGTTTTGGTTCTATTTGCAACTCCATCTCAACGTAGAATTTCATTTTAATCCCTTCAGTTATAATATGTTTAATACCGATTGGCTTTATCAACCCATGCTGTTAAAACACAACATCTTAACATACAGTTTATATAAGTATCATGTGTAAATATTCACATATTTACTTAAGCTTAATATTACTATTCAGAATTTTGGATTGTAGTCAAATTTCTCTGGGTAAAGCAATTTCAGCACTGTTCAGTAAATATTAATACCATTTAGTGATTAGGTTTGACACCCCTAGCTTAGGTTCTAATACTGGAGTTTAACTTTTATAACACTAGATGGAGCCACAGCCCAGAGTCTGACCACAGTCTGTGCGAGGACAGAGACCAAGTGATGAGGCAAGAGGGTAACAGCTTAATGTAGTTTACTTCCTGGATTTTTATTCATTTAGGGAATATCTAAACTCTGGTGTAATGTCACCTTTATGCCACATCATCTTGTCGTCCCTACACTTGATGCTCTGTCAGATGCAACACAGAAAAAGGCAAAAGATTTCTACTACAGCAGTTGAACTAATTTAGGGCCAATCAGACTCATCCACTGACTGCTATTTAGCATTGGTGGAAATGTAAGAGATGAAGTGTCCCAGATTAAAGTTGGTCGTCTCAGTGTTTTTTGAAAGCCTGTTCCCCTTTACTTAAACAAACACACACTCACTCACACAGTTCCTGTCTCCAGAGAATAAGCTCAAAATAACCAGAACTAACAGAGTGATAGTAAAGCTGTCCTGCGCCTGTGGTAGCAGTGTGTCTTTGTTTCCCAGGACCTTGGTAGAGTAACCAGCGAGCTGCTCTAACAAGCTCCAGGGGGATGATTTTTCTAACCATCCAGTTATTTTCTCAGACAGTAAAATCATCTGTAAACTCCACCGTGGCTCACTGTGCAGCGGGGCTCTGCTGATGATGAGCGAGAAAGTGGGTCATATTGATCGTCAGCATGTGTGATTGAATGTATGCACTACACACACACACACACAAACACACATCCAACTACAACTTCAGGCCAAAGGTCCTGACCAGCCTCTCTGAGCTCAGGGCAGTAAGTAAGTCGACAGCTGCCAACATGACTGACACAGTTGTCAAAAAGATAGTGAGAGACTGTAGACTGATAACTATTGTTCAGGACAATCACCAAAATTTTGAAACTCAATTCCACAGGCTGTCAAGGCACAGAGTAATGACTAACTTCACCAACTCAATGAAGCTACATTTTGACTTTTTTTTTTGACAATTTACCTAATTAATATATAATTAATATTAATAATACATTAATTAATCACTATTACAATCACAATCAAACACTGAATCCATAGCTACCCCTAATTAATTATCTAACAGTCCATCTTTTTTTTAATGAAACACTTGTTATGCATTTCATCAATTAGTTGGGATACTACTGGCTGGGGAAATGTAAGGAAGTGGTAGTACTTTTGGACTAACAGGAACTACATGCCACATCAGGCTCCTCCATCCTGCTCTCTTCACACTCTCCTGGGTCAAATAGAAGTGGACATGACTTTTTATTGCAGCAGAGTAACTGCTGTCCTCGGGGCTGATGTCTTTTATATGACTTATCCTCTCTTCCCTCACCTGAATGAGTAGAAGAAGTGAGTGGTTGCAGAACTAGGGCAGATTTGATTACGTTGCTGCTCACTGTTAGTACTGATGTGATTTTGTTTGGACCATATTTTTGTTTCTCCAGTAAGTCCCCTGTGTTGTATTAGCAGCGTTTTTCATTTTCTTCAGCACAGTCAGACGGAGGAAGTCACTCAGCCAACGTTATCTTGATGCTGGGGTTGTTTCAGGGACAGGAGGAAGGGCAGCGCAGTGCGGCGCCTCCTTGCTTTTTCCAGCAGCACTGCCATGATACCTAGGTAATTACTTTATAGGACATACACGCATCACTGAGCAGTAGCCAGGCAACTCCAGACGGCCTGCTGCAGACACTAACAGAGCCTATATCAGGTGTGTCCGTTCTAATCTAGTCATTTTAGGGATGTCCAGGCGTGGAACAGGAACCAATCTGAACTAAATCTGCTGTCAGAGATCCTCAGTCGTGGCATCATGGCCTAATGGTAGATAACACAGCTGATATGTGATAAGAACACTGCAGTCAAGCCAGTATAAATACCATGTTTCCTAAAAAAGTGAACTTTTACAGAAAAGCCAAAATGGTACAACATTATTTTAGCCTCTATTGATCTCTTTAGAATCTGTCTCATGTTGTCAGTGAATCTCATGTGACTCTGTGATCAGTTTCACTTTTCTATTTAAGCATGTTTTTTTTTTTTTTTTTAAATAGACGTGCATGACACAGCACTTCCAAGAAACACAGTGAGTCTGTGCGGCTGGGAAATTGCAACCAGAAAGAAATAGAAGTGAGAGGAAGATTAAATGGATGGAAATAAATGTACCAGTAATGAAGCATTTTAGAGGCTACTGCTTTAACGACCTGCGACAAGCTATCGAGATGAAACACGAACACTACCGATAGAGAGAACACACACAGTTTTACACGGTCTCTCGCCGTCTTTCACTATGCCCACTTGATTTCCTCATGATTTTCTTGAATGGCGTGAACCGTGTCTCTTTCATCCTTCAAGCTATGAGTCAGCATCTTCTCTACCTGCAGGATCATTCATGACAGGGTAGAATTAGCCGTTCCTCTTCACTTGGATTGATATGTTAATTTTCCAATTAACAGTGAAGGAGGGGAGCCATGGAAACAGAACAAAGTGCTGAATACTGAGCAGTGGAACTGGCACTGGCTCTGTGGTCACCTTGATTTGTGCCAGTCTTTGTCAGCAGTGACGCTTCCTGCTCGCTCTGCTCTGGGCAGAAAATGGGTGTCATTACTGTTGTCACCGTTGATGTCGCTGAAAAAACATTCAGGACGTTTGGTCTGAATTTGATGTTCTTGATAATCAGCTGTCGTCTGGAGGAGAACTCCATCACGGTGATGAATCATACAGGTAAAGGAGAAAATGATGAGGGTTGAGTCCCTCCTCAGATTAATGTCCTCACTCTGCCAGTGTCAGAAAGCATAACTTTCAGATTTCACAGCTGACCTTTTTGCATAATGACAGACAACTAAAGAGACATTTATGATTAAACCTCAGGTATAGAATAAGCATTTTTTTAATCCTCCTCCCCCATCTTTGGCTCAGCAGCTTCTCAGTTCAACCTTGTGCTGCCAAATGCACACAAATATAAATTAGTCTTGAATAGCGTCGGCAATCAGCTAAGAGCCGCAGTGTTTATTGTTTGCTTTCAATCAATATGACAAGTCGCTAAGATCAGGGCTTTCTTAGCTTCTTCTACTTTAATTAGTGGAGCTGCTGAGCTGAGGGGAATGACAAAATACCTTTCCGCAGCAGAGGTGAAACATCCCCAACAGTCTGCAAACAAGACCACTTAGTCCTGATTTAATGCCTCTGGAGATCTGCACTGAAGATGCAGGCTTTTAATTCTCCGCCTCACCGATGCTCCTGCACTGATTATGATGACAAACTAAAGAACATGGCAATGAGAAGAAAACAACATCAGCTACCAACAGATTTACCCAGAAGGCTACATTTTCAGAATACTGTATTCTTTTGTCTGCATTAAAAAAGCCATGGGTAAAAACGACAGTTGTTACGCAGCAAATATTTAGTCTTCTGCCGAAATCTAAAAACAATAAGAACGGCTTGGTCACTAACAGCAAAACAACATAATAGCTTCTTTCAGGTTGTCTGATAAAGCAGTGTGACAAAGGTAAATAAAAACACACTGTTGGTGTTCAGGCACAGAGGCATTGATCATAAGGGGAACATGACAGTGGTGAGATGTTGGAAGCTGACTTTGACTCCTGTGGATTTATTCAAAGTAATGAGACACCTGAAGATGCTTCAGTGTCATGTGTGTCCACTGAGGAGGAACGGTATCACAGTTTCTGGTGGCTTTACCTACTGAACCGTGACACCTCTAATCCCTATGGTTTCTACTCAGATTCAGAAAGTCCAAGGTGAGTCTCCATGGTTTGAATCCAAAACCACAGTACCCACATGTACACTCACATGACCTCAAGTGTTTATTTTCCTCTACTTTATCATTTACCTAATAAACGTCAACAGTCAGGCATCTGGTCACTGACCCTGGGCTCACATTTGCCCATGTTTCCATCTAATCAACCTTCCAGACAAACCAACGTCCAAAGTCAGAGAGAAGGGGACGATGTGTAATTCTATTCAACCTTTGTAATGCGTTTGCTCTCTTCTAATTTCAGCACGGACTCCTGGCCTTCAAGTTCATCCTGTGTTTCCTCATCCCTGACGTTCCAAAGTACATCCAGATCAAACTGGCTCGTCTGGAGTTTGAATCACTGGAGGCCCTCAAGAAAAAGGTGAACTGGTGAACACGCCATATAAATATATATGTATGTATGTGTTAACTATATATATTGTTACAGATGTAGTAGTCCACTAGTCCTGTAGATGGCAATAATCTGGGTATAGTGTAGTTATAGATGAGATGTTGATCATGTTCTCTCATACGTTGCTCGTTCTAACCTGCTGGATCTTCGTTACATGAAGAACTGGCTTCTGCTGAATGTGTCAGACCACTGTGTTGAAGATGAATGTGTGCTCTATGTTAAGAATATGAATTTGGCTCCACAGTGAACCATGAGCCGCCTCAGCACCACACTCATTTATCTGAACCAGAACTAGGTTCTTCTGTAACGAGCGATTTGGCTTTAAAATGTGAACTCGGTGTGAAGCTTAACTTAGAGATCAGATGATTTTGGTTTCAATAAATTTACAGCGTGAGTGTGAGCTCAGCCCAAACTACAGCGAGGACACCAAGCAGGAAAAATCTACATTTTACAGCCACGTATTCTCAGAAAGATGTTTCACTCCAAACTGAAACCATTTTTTCTGCATACTTAAATTGACACTGTGTCACATTAGAGAGTAAATCATTAAAATTAAGGATTAAAATATATACAAAAAAAAAAGATAAAGACAATTTAACTTCCTACACAGTTAACACGGCCTGCTGAATAGAAAGTGAGCAGAGCTTTTACACCAGTAGTGCTCCTGCTTTACAATGTAGACTACTTTCATTCATCAATAAACAAATGAACACAAAGTTGATTTAAAAAATCTCAACATTAAAGTAATTTGGTGAGGTATAAACTCCTCGTCTGAATATCCAGCCAAACATCAATACTTCTGTGTCAGTGCATCCCTGCCATAAAGAACTAAACCGTACCCAAACCACAGAGAAGTTTCTTCATTTAAATCTTAAGTCTAAATCTAAGCATCGATGAAGAGACCAGATTTGTGGTCTATTGTTGAAAACACTGTGGCACTGATATTTGTTCCCACTACCAATACCCTCAATCTGACTGTTAAACCCAGTGGTGTTTATATCTGTGGCCATAACTAAGAAAGCCTGTCTTGGTTCTGCAGAGATATCTTCATCGGAGGTGAGTGGCTCAGTGTGTGTCCGTGTGTGGGTTTTGTAAAGTGTGACAACATTGTGTAGTAACAAATGGTGTTTGTTTTTTTAACATTCACACACAACCCTGAGGACTGATGTTCTAACTGATGCTCTTGTCGTGCAGGCGTTGTTTACCTAACACTGTGTTGTGTTTGATGATCTGATCTCACTCTACTTCTTGGTGGGAGCTCCGTATAACAATTTATGATATACAAAATACACCCCCCCCCCTCACACACACACACACACACACACACCCACTTGTGTGACACTTGAGTTTATGAGAATGCATTTGTGTCTGTGATGCGTTCTAGAAAATGCTGGAAGCCTCGGAGCTCAGGAAAGTGGAGCAGTGAGGAGAAGAGTTCCTACTGACGGAGCCTGCTTTAACACATCTGATCACACTGATGTGCTGCTTCTCTCTCTCTCTCTCCCTCTCCCTCTATCTCGCTCTCTCAAACTCATTTCTAATCTGTGACTAATCTCCGTGCCGTTATCGACATGTACTGTAAAAAGGCTCAGTGTTAAGATGGCTAAAGCCACATGTTGAATGCTGTATTACTATATTTATAGTGTATATCAAAGCATCTTTCTGTGTGCTCTCAGTTCTGAGTCACTTATTTACAGTTACTAAATGACTCCATGCCATGAGCTGCTACATTATATGACTGTGGGCTGCTCCTTCACGGCAAAACTATTTGACCTTTTGATCTTCATCCACAGTCACTGTAAAAAGACCTGCATCAGCAGGGTTTAAATCAGAGTCTGATTAAAAAGTCTGAGTCCAGTCGTCAGGGAGTCGTTAATGCTAACGTCGAGTTACAAGCTCCAAACTCTGGAGCTGCAATACTGTTACCAGGAAAGGGTCCAAAGACCAAACATAATGTTCAAATTGAATATCTGAAACGCGTATATCCATCAAATCACTTTAGAGCAATATTTAATTTAATTTTTTTTTTTTTTACAACTTATCTATTTGCACTACAATCTGGACAATTTGGTTTGGTCACAGCAGGAAAGACAAAAGTGTAACTTCAATATTATAATCTCCTGAACTTTTAAATTCAGTTTATTTTCTTTTACAATCTTCACAATGTTTCCTATTTAACTGAGACTGTGTCGATGTGATCACTGACACTCATTTGTGGCTGCTGTCCAAAGGACACGTTTTAATTCGTCTGTGCATGTTAACAGGGTACCCAGTCATCCATGGCAGAACTCCTGTTTGTGTCTGTCAAAAATTCTTGTAAAAACCCTGGTGCCTTGAAATGTTTAGCCTTTTCTCATTGGTTGCCTTGGACGCATTAGAGACATGACAAAAGGAACGCAGCTGTAGTAGAGGAATAAAGAATAATGAGCTCTAATGATATTAAATTCAATAAAACACATTTATTCTAAAGACAGACGGTGTCTTTGTTTATTACTGGGTTTAAATGTTTTAAAAGGTAACGTTATTGTGGGTTGGTTTTATTTGTTGGTTCAGATTTGGTTTCAGGGTTATGAGACTTAAACAGCATCCCTAAAACCTCTGGCACGAACATGAGGTTCAAAATTTGATTGGTGACCTGGTTCAGTCTTGGTTGGATGTAAAATGCTGAGTGAAATAGTTTGAATAAATTGCACAAGAATAAAACTCTTAAACTCTCAAAGAAAATTTGGCACGTTTGATCTCAGCTGCCATTCAGTGGCATCAACATAAATTACAGTTGGGTCATTGTAATGCAACAAAAGGATTAGAAAGATTGTTGGGCTGTATCTAGTCCACAGGCCATAGTTAATAGATACATGGTACTGGTTAACCAATACAACAAGAGACAATGTCTGCACAACTGCAAAGTGTTAGAGTGTGTGTTATTAAAGATGAGCATTCACAGATATGTGATCTCTCAATGAACTTTAGGTGTGAAGCTTCAGGGTCACCTGAGTGGCTGAGTGAGCAGACGGTAAAGCCCCTTGGTCTCATGTAGCACATTCATCGTCACTGCAGCTTTTCAACACCTTCACTGACCCGCTTCACAGACTCAGAGACCATGTCCATGTCCCCTCCTAAGCCTTTGAGCCCTAAACACATTTAAAATCATAAGTTAGAGTTTCAATGGCGGTGGAATTAACTGGTTATGTGCTAATTTGAATTTGAATTTTTCAGTGTGAAGTTGATGAAAATCTTTTGATTTTCAACAACCGATCCCTGCTGATAATGATAGAAAAGACTCCATTATTAAACTGTAAACTGTATTAATGAATACAACTCACAATAACTTAGACCCTTAACTTAATTTCCACTTGTATATACAGCAGTGATTACCAACTGGCAGCCTGTGGCCTCAATCTGGTCCACTGAACCATCCAATCCGGCCCGCCACTGGATTCTAAAATGAACATCAAATGAAAATGTTAGACAAACACAACATTTTAATTTATTTTAGTGTCAGGCCACCAAGGTGTCTTTCCAGAAAAATTCTGACCCCTTCAACAATTATAGTCAGTGACCCCAGACTTGAAAAAAGAAGCAGAGAATATGAGACAGTACTCCACATTTTATTTTTGGATATTACCATAGCAGTATGTAACATCTGACAAGAGGTCGACTACAGAATAATACACTGAATATTCTTGTCTTAGCTTCTTTTTTTACTCTGTTGCTTTTTGGTCCAATAAGGTTCCTCTCTTCTCTCAGTGTCACTGAAGGTCAAACATTGAAACACATGCACGTCATTCACCTGGATACAGCTGAGTAAGACGACGGTCAGAGACCCGGCCGCGAGAGCACAGATGGTCAAGTTGTTTGGTTTCTCACGCCGCTTTGTTTGGAGCCGGGATGCCCACACAGTAGTACTAATAATAATCAGAAGGCTAAATGACTGTACAGCTACAAGGTTCACTCGGCTATTCTAGAGAGAAAGAGCACCATATTTACAACCTCTATGTACATGACTTTTTTTTTGTTTTTTTTTTAAGTCACACCAAAACAAATACAAAACCCAGAAGAAAAAATAATATTAAAACACAGCTTTTTCTTTTTTCCTTTACAATCCAATGTAGCTGCTGTGAGACAGGATTAAAAAAAATAAAACTGTTTCTGTACAGATAGCTGCAACACACTATGTAGCTTATTGCCAATGCCCTTGAGGGAATCTCCCCAGTTTTCCTTTTCTTTCATTTGTTCTCGTTCAACTCCTTTACAGCTACACATCATCAGCTGTTCCTCCTCCTCCTCTTTCTCTTTCACTCTCACACACACACAAAACAGCAGATCGTTCAAAAAAAAGTACACAAGATAAAAAACAACAGTAACCAATGACACGTCATCATCATCGCCATCATCATCGCCATCCTCACACTGCAGCCTTGGTGCAGTGAAACTTTGGGAGATACCAGACAAATAACCATCAGTCAACAAAAGTTTCGCAACTTAACACAACAGCATGAATAAAAAAATATCAGCTCATATATTTAAATAAAAGGACAGCAGTAACGTGTCTAAACTTGGTGGACGAGTGTTGGTGCTACAGGACCGACATGATCAGCTGACTATGCCACACACACAGGAGCTAGGGCTGTCACTTTGACAAAGTGCAAGACAGAAGATGGTTCTGATTCAGTAGAACTCTTCAACCTAAACTATAGTGCTTTAAATGCTTTGGTAATATATATATATATATATATATTTTTTTACTCTTTCTTGCCAAAATGTGTGAGCAGGGCATTCATATTGTGCAGGCATAAAGGCATTAAATCTCACTCAGCAGCGGCTGGAAAACACTCCTGCTAAAACAATGCTTGTTTCTGTTTCAAATTTAGTGTCTTCTTTAACCCAATACAGTTCTAGTCTTGTTTGCTAAATGCAAGGCGGAATACTTGGTTATGATTTGGTGTCTGCAGTGTGCCAAAGAGTATAAGAAGCATGTTCCTCTTGCACAGGCACAGAGGGATTAAATCATTAAGAACTGATTTCAACCAAAGCAGTGCTTCTGCTCCAGCACCTGTTTTGTCGCCTGCTAACAGGATAAATTAAGACATGCTATAAGCAGAAGGAAAACGAAAGAGCTCCCTCTGCTGGATTTTGACGACTGGATGAATCAGAAAAGTTATATTAGCCTGAGGTTGACCCAGATATTTGGATGTAAAGTGACAGCCCTAACTGGACTGAATGCTCTCCAGACTTGTCCACATTTAAAGGGATGTTACCAACACTGGCTGAAATACAAAGTAAACAACAAAATAATAGATTGTCTGAGTGCAATGTAGAGTCAGAGGTCACTCAGGTCAAAATCATTCTCCTCTCAAAACTAACGGTGGTGTGAGCAGCTCGTCCTTAAGCTGCTTCTGGACAATGTATTTTTTTTAATCCTCATCTGCCAGCTCCCTGGATGATGTTTCCAACAATATCATGTAGAAACAAACCAGGTTAAGCTCAGAATATTTTATGGCAAGTGATTGGAAGAGTGCCCTGCCTTCAGCAGAGTCAAACCAGGTTCTGGGTGTTGTTATGAACGGTTCTGAACCTGATCACCTCCTGCTGCAGTCTTCATTTATGAACGTTAAACTCTCACCAAGACTAAACTCAGCTTTCCTGTCTTTGTTCCGAGATCATATCTGAATACAGCTTCAGAGATTAAAAGTCAGACGTCGAGAGTCAAGTACGAGTACAGGTGACGCTGTATATCCTGGACTCGGTACACTAGCTGCTCTTTTTGAAATGTACAACAAATAAAATGTTTTACAGAAGAGATTTTTAGCTTCTGTCTCCGTCTCCTTCAGAGCTGATCGACTGATGTGAAGCAGAGAGCTTCAGTACTGTGAGAACATATCACTCTCTTTAGAGGGAATTGTCACCTCTACACCATTTCAATATAAATCTTTTAAATATATGATTTTTTTTTACAATACTATTTTCTTCTAGAATGAAGACCTGACCTGAAAAGGTCTTAAGTATTCTTTAAAAATATGGATTTATTTTATATATTAGGACTTTTTATTCCCTTTTCAAAATTTAACAGGGAATTTAAACAGTGTTTTTGCTTCAAAGTGTCTGATACAGAACTTCACTTTCACTGTTTTAATCCTGCCCAAATAATTGTCAGCATAAAACCCAATGTGACACATCAGCGGATTATCTAAAACCAGCATGTTCCATTTCTAGGACTTTAACTGAGAGGAAAAGGAATTGTAGAGATGAAAAGATGTTTCACTGATACCAGAAAAACCTCAACAGCACCAGCCTTCACTGATCTGACACCATGGTATTTTATTATTCTCTCATTTAGTATATTACTATATATAGCTGAAAGAATAAGGAGGCATTATAACCCCTCGTCCTCAATGATTTCTTTTTTTTGGAGAGATGCAGCTTTTTGTTTTATTTTGAAAAGTGAGGCACCACTTTTCTGTGTTTTCGCTTCATAATGAGGACAGTAAAGCTGCTGGTAATTTCTCCCCTAGGGGGTGGAACCTTCAAATCTTCCATGGCAGAAGCCTAGTGGGAGTTCCCCATGGCTGTGTGTACTTGGTACATAGTTTCTAATAAAATGTATTAAAAATTAAAATTTACATCTTATATAAGAATACAATTTGAGGGGGTGCAGCTTGTCCACTGGGAAGGAATCTGTTGTGTTCTTTGTCTCAGACTGTTAATCCAGGTTGATGACAAAATCTATTTGACATTCTGTAACCCGGCTTAAAATCTCAGATAGTTAAAATGAACCCAACTTTTATTTTTTAACTGCGATGGTATCAGATCAGTACTCAAACCTACATTAGTTGACGTGCTGGTATCAGATTCAAAAAAGTTAAAAGTGGCTTCCAGATTGAAGTTCAAACAGAGGATAAAGAAGCACAGAATAAATCAGAATGACAGAGAAGTCGAGCCACAGCACGGCAGAAGGACGAGGATGTGAGCTCAGCTATCTGGTACAGTTACAAATGAATAGAGGAAACATTAGAACGTGGAATTGTGTATTTAGATCATGTGGTAAAGACGATAAAGGGGACTGTGTGAAAATGTGACAAAGAGGGTGGAGCCTCAGATGACTTGACAGCAGCTGGCTGGAGCTGAGGTACAGAGCAGGACGTCCCTGGAGCCTCCACCGTGTTGGATGTTGACGGAGATGGTCTTCTCACACAGAGGTAGTTGAATCACACCGTTTTTCAAAGCACTCAGATTTCTGTGAGCGTTCCTGTCATTGGACCCCATCCTCGGACTCTGGGTGTCGTGTGTCGCCGTCTTGCGGTAGTGGTGGTGGTGGTGCTGGGTAGAGTGGGTACGAGGTGGGACAACTGTAGTGGGAAGAGTAATGGTGTCCAGGCTCCCAGTGGAGCCAATGCACATCCTCCAGGCTGATTTCTCTTGGATCTTCACGCTACCTCCTGAGGTGTCAATAATTTGTTTTCCCCCACCACCACCACCTCGGCTATTTCTCCCCCCACGGTGGTGCTGCAGCTGTGAGCTGAGGCACAAACTCATCAGCTTCAGACTCTCTACTAGCTCTCTGCTCCGGCTCGGGGTGCGCATAGATCGGGAGAAAGAGCTGAGGGATGGGTTTGTAGTGCTACTGTTGTTACAACAACTGGAGGGACTGTCCCCTCCCCCTCCTCCACCCCCACCACTGCCTCCTCCTCCACCTCCACCCCCTTCAGGTGCATTACCCCGGTCAGGACCAGAGGTGCCCCCACCTTCTCCAGGGGGCTTCCCCGGCCCTGAACTGCTCCCTCCCCCGTTCCCGCCAGAGCTGCCTGGTGGCCCCTCGCTGCTGTCTCTTCTGTTCCAACTGTAACCAAATCCTGAGTCCTTGTCCAGCCGTCTCCGGTGACTCTCGGAGTCATCGTCGCTTGTCTCGGAGCTCGAACACGACGACCCTCTACCTTGACTTTTTCTACGGTGGTACCGCTTCTGTGTGGACCCAGGAGACGAGGAGGAGGTGGCCCCAGAGCTCAGGCTGGTGGCGTTGCCAGCCATGTTCATCTTGAGACGACTGAGCTTTGGTGGCAGACCCTCGTCCATGTCAAAGTCGTCATCAGACTCACCTTCCTCCTCGAAGATCTGGTTAAGCACAGGGGCACTCTTCCTGGAGGTGAGTCTGTTGGTGACTGAAGGAGGCTTGCGACGTAGGATTACCTGAGTCGGGAGGGGAGAGGGATCATCCTCCTCCTCTTCATCCTCCTCAACCCTGAAACAGAAAAAAAATCACTACAGTGTTCATTTTTAAAAGTACTTTAGTAAAATAAAGTGTTGCTTGTATAACAACACAAGAACAACAACAGGAGTGCATCAGGGCCAGTTTTACTTTAGAACAAAATATTAAGCCTTATTAAAATGTGTTGCAGATAAAATACCTTCAGTCTGCTGGGTTACAGCAATTAAAACATAGTCACAAATCAAGACCGATGGGCCAAGTGAGAAAACTGCTGCTCAAGTCTTAACTTCTTCTTTTTAAGTTCCATGTACTCTTAACTAAGTAAAATCGTTACTCTCACGCAGAAATGTAAAAACAAACAGCAGTACCAAATGACCAATAAATTAACCAATCTACAGAACCAGTAACACAATCACAATGTTTCTGACTATTATCTCTTTTCAACTATTTACAACACAATCAAATATTTGAACCACACCTGAAAAGACATGTTCGCTGCTTGGCTGCTGCAGAGCCTGAAGATCCAGGAGCCCAGATGCTCCCAGAGCCTGTGCAAACAACAGGGGGAGATGTGGTGGTGGCACCAAAGGCCCCCTAAAGAAAAGGATAAACATTTTCCAAAACAGATTAAAAAAAGTTTAGAGGACATCTGAAACATGTGCAGCATGTAGGTACGCATGTTTCTTAAGGACTTGTACCTGTGCTGACAGCAACTGTAAGTCCGTTATTGACTCGTCTCGTCGTCCCAGCTCCATCATGCCTTTGGTTCGATGGCCATTTAACAGATTCTCTGCGCTCCGAGCCGGTGACTGAGGTCCTCCTGCGTGTGAGATTGAGGAAGCTGCCAAACTGTCTTCAATGTCCTGGTGCATGTCTACTCTGGTGGGCCATGACTGCCTGTATGTATAAGACAAGAAAAGACAGGTTAAGACGTATGGAGTCAACCTTTAATAACTAATGATCTTTGGTATTTGGAGAATAGTTGCGATTGACTGCCTTATTCTGTGAAGCCATTAAAATAACAAGGATAGCAATGCTCCTTTAGTAACAATCAGTAACTAAGTGTTAAGATGGGTGTTTTTCCCATCTTGAATCTGTATCTGTGAAAACACCTGAATTGTGCCTTGATGTTGCTAGGGCTAGATGAGCGGGTCTGGACTTCCTTCTCTTGCTTTTCCCTCAGGATTCTCTCTGCCAGCAAGTAGTATGTGGCTGTGATGTGGTTGTATTTGTTGGTCTCCAGGGCTCTGAAAGAAACAGAGCAGCAGCTGTATAATACACAGACACTTCTTGGTTGAACAAGAGCAGAATGTCTCTGGGTCTGAACACTGAAGTTAACATGAAGCTAACACCTGTATGAACTCCCTGTATTCCCTTTCAAAAATATTTGTATTCTTAAGTTTTTATTAAGGCGTGTTCAACTTCACTCTGTGTACCCCAGTGAATTAGCCAGGCTTGCTGTGACTTACTCCACTATGGCTTCTCGATCGGCGATGTCTCCCAGCACCATACGCTGGATAATGCTGTTATGTTCTTCCTCAGACAGGTTCTTGTGGGAGACCAGAGGGGTGTTAAACTTGGTAGCCGGGGAAGGGTCAACACCCTGAAGCCAGGTGTGTGTCTCAATTTCCTCTAGAGATGCTCGTCGCTTAGGATCCCTCTGAAGCATGCGGTCTATAAGACTGGAGGCAGAAAGGCAGGACAGAGAGATACAATAAGAATGAGCAAATATTTTCTATATATTGAAGCTTAATCAATTATTTAGATTCACCCAATGTCATTAACATTGTAACATGTAGAGAAAAAAAAGTTATTTTTTTGTCGACTGGTTTTATTACTTTAGACCTTCACCACCCTTGTGGTGTTCAGGTGGCAGCCATCTGGTGAGTGCCTCCACTCCAATAAGAATTTCACCCTATTTATGCATGTTGTGCTTTTCGGGTTCATTGCTAGTCTCCTTAACACTGTCAATGTACATGCACAGGTATCACATGATTCATTCTTCACAACCTCTTTAAAGACAATTAAAAGACTGTTCACATTGGACATGACTGTTGCTAAAATGTTTCCTATTCACCAAGTGCCCCATTCAGGTACTTTTGCACTTCACAGAGACCCTAGTGCACGTCTCCATGTACTTAACTTTGTCTGTATGGTGTAGATTCAGCACTTTGCCCTGAACCTATCAATCACTACTGTGAGCTCATGGCCATAAAGATTTTACCATCCTCATGGACAGAGCAGACCTCAGTGTCAGCAGCAGCTGTGCCTGCACCTGTGAGTGCACTGCATGCCACACACAGAACAACATAAGAACTTCTCTTTCACTCACACCTCTTTAAACCTGCCACTCAAGCTTTGCTGTTCATGAGAGCCAACAGTGCATGTGGCTGTAACTGCTCCCTGGGAACTCAGAAGATCACCAGCTCCGCTGTCTGACACTTACGCCTGCAGGGACAGGCTCAGGTGGACCACGTATTCGTCATTTGGTTGTTAAAATTTCTAGTTCCTATTACATTTGTAATTTGTAATTGCTATAGCCCATCTAAATAAGGGCTATAGCAATCATTTTTGTTGTAATCGATTAACCTACGGGTTATTTTCAATTTGATTAAACTATTATTTAAATACAGGGGGGAAGATTGTGAAATTGTGAAAAGTATAAAAGTAAAAGGATACAATATCCATGAAAAAACAACAGCATAAGTGTATATATAAAAATAACTTTTAATCTAAAGTGTCCACTTTGAATATGTTCTGCCTCTTAGTCTTTGAGCTTTGTGGCATATTGTTTGTGAAGACCCTGGTGTCACGTACAATACAATAAGTATCTGTGTGAAACACAACAGCATTATGATGTTCAGCAAGGTTTGAGCCAGGAAAATTGTAATCCAATAACTTTCCTAATCTTTAGTCCATAAATCAAATAATCGTTTCAGCTCTGGTCTTGTTTTTTGAAAACAATGACAGCATGTGGTCCAGCTTGTAGTTTTTTTATTATCTGAAAAGCAATATTCCACTGATGGGAATAAATAAAAAATAATTAACAGCAACAGAACTGTTTGCTTTTCTTTACTTTACCTTGTGTTTTTGGTACCTAAAAATGTATTTAGTGTATTCGGATACACAGGCAATTTTATTAAAACAGGTTTTAATGATGGGGTGATGTTTGATGAAATATTGACTTTACCTCAAGGGGATTCAGGCCACAGACTTTTTGCTGCTAAGATAATCTGTCAGCTGAAACGGCAAAAACCACAGACACTTCAATATGTGGTTTTATTAGGAAGTAAGGGAGAAGACATGGTTTCCTTTTTTTTTGCCCAAGACAATTGGACCATTATACACTTGATGTGACTGTGGTTTTACTTTGGTTATTAGCAGGCCAACCATGCCTTGGTGAAATATCCCATTTTAGACTTTGACTTAGTCAAAGTTAACACTTTCTGTTCACCCTGTGATGTTTTTTTCATGTTCTTTTTTTTTCTTGGACTTGATTTAATTTGGTGCCAAGAAAGTGCTGGTGATTCTTAGCAAACATAACATGACAACAGGTAACAAAGGCAAAGAAAACAGTTATTATGGGCCTCCCCTTAAAAACAGCTGAGGGACATTCAAATATAATATAACCTGTATGATTGTCGTGTCACACGAAGTCATTGAAAATCACAACATTTTGAAGAAACTTCCACAGAAATTACAGACGAAGTCATTGAAAATCACAACATTTTGACTTTCCATTCTATTTTGCCAATAGAATGGAAAGTAAAAAAAAACATTTAAAAAAATTAGTTTATATTTGTGGCAGGTCTCATTTAGTATTAGTGAAAAAAAAACATTTTCACACGTGATTAAAGCTGCCAAAACTGCAAAACTATTCCAGGCTCCTTGTATTTGTGGTGAAGTGTGACCAGACTGTGTGATGGAGGCGACAGGTTAACTGGCCGGACAGAACCATATCTTGCTCCCTGACAGACAAACTGGGATATAGTGGCAATAACTAAACCAACAGCAGGAGCTGCAGCAGCAGTAACAGCAGGTTGGACTTTTTATCTGCACAATGACAGCAGAGAACTACACAGCAAAGATAGCATGATTGAAAAAAGTGTGGCATACACCCTGCTGAGCAAAATAGAAGAAATGTGTGGGTATGTCTGTTCTTATTATCACGACCAAAAAGCAACAATGGGGATGAGCTGCTATAACCTTTTTTACTGGGACAGAAATAAGAAATGGGAAGGATGGGCGAAGGCCCAGTTTGTTTGCTTTTCTAACAGTAATGGATGATCCTTGTAACCCCAGCAGTGGTATTGCCATCATTGTTTTTCTAACAGTAATGGATGATCCTTGTGATCCCCTGCTTGAATGAGACCAGTAAATAGGACATAACAATTGATGAAGTAGCAGTACCTGGGATTAAAAATAGATACCCAAATATACCCACCATAGTCTAAAACACTCACTACATTGCAGGGTTTGAAATAAGTGACCTTAAAAAAAGACCTTGGAATTAGCTGTGTTAAAATAGCTATAGATAGCAATGACCATTTATGCAAGAGTGAGAAACATTGATCTATTATTTTCTTCCAACATGTTTCAAAGAACAACATACATCAAATATAACTCAGTTGTAGCAAGAACAAGCTGGACATTGCAGAAAACTGTAACAGTTTGAAGTGAAATCAACAAAGCTCTGACAGAGGTCTGTTCGGTCAAATAGTGTTCAGTAATTAGTTGGAATAATGAGCTGTGAAACATTTATGGTTGCAGTCAAACACCACATCTTAGCAGACCATTACTTTAATGACTGCAGGTCAATGCTATTGACTACATGAAGTGGCTATTCTACAGACCACAGTTTGCTGACCAACACCAGGAAAACAGCAAATCATGCATTAAGAAGTGGGAAAGCTTTTTGTTATATTTGTATAAGAACGGTCACTTACTCTTTACATGCAATGGAGACGTGAGCTGGTACAGTGTATTTACAGTCCATGATCATGGTGAGGGTCTCACTGTCATTGGCTTCCTGGAAGGGCGGCTGACCACAAACCAACATGAACAGGATTACACCCAGACTCCAGATATCTGAAAAAAGGGGCAGAGAAACGAAGACGATGAAAAACAGTTTTTAAAATCATTTCATTGTAGTTGTTTTTTCCCACACAGGAGCAATCATGTTAAAATCAATTCTGTTCAGTCAGAAAAAATACATCCTTTCATTTTAAATGGTTGAATATTCTGCTAATGTAGACAGGCAGTGTCTGGGGCTTCTAATGGTTATCTTTGCCGTAAATTATACCACTTATACATTGCCCATTAATCTGGAGTGTGAACTTTGTGTCATCGGCTTGTGAAGAGCAACACCCTCTTATACGCTGAGAAATGATGGCTCCATGTTTGGGAAGAGTCTGTGTATAGAATTTGTGATGAATTTGGCAAAAGCTTGTTTTAGTACAGTGTCCACTGTATTATCAGCAGTGAAAGTGCTTGAGTTTTCCAGCTAACATCACTTTCACAGATTACATGTCCACTTAAGTGTTGTAAGAAGAGATATCCTGGCTGCAAAACTGCCTGTACAATACATATGTGAGGAAGACAACAGCAGCAGATGTCCTAATCGACTGCACTACAAGATTTATTGCATATAATATATAAAAACCCTCATACACATTAAACTGCCCTGGAGTCTTTAATGTGTTTAAACTTCAATAAAAACACACCAGATAAACAAAATGAAATACATAGTATGAATGTTTTCGCGCACACAAAACTGACCTTCACATTTTATTACATCTCAGGCCATAAATTATGAACATCTGTTCTATTACTTTTGCTGCTGGACGTTGGTTCTGTTGTGTTTCACACGGATGATTACTGTGACGCATATAGCGCCAAGATTGCCAAAAACTATGTCTTGTGAAGGTCTGAAGAAACAAGGACTAAAAGGTTGAAAATGTCTTAATGGTGCTTACATCTCAACAACTTACTACTTTGTTGAGGACTACGGTAAACATTTGACATGTTGGTTGTCGCTTATACATGTAGATTTATTTCTACATATATTTGTATGCTTTCGTTATGTGTGTTAGGTGTTCTTATATTTATATAGCCATTTTTATTCTTTTTTTAACAATATACTATTTTTGGGTTTTTTTTGTTTCTACTGGTTCAGGAATAAAGTTCTTATTGAAAAAGTTGTTTTCAGACATATATTTTTCATCCTATCTGTGTATGGTGATTTAAACTAACCAAATTGAACATAAACAACAACAACAACCACAGAAATAACAAACAGCTGTAGCTCTACTTTGAACTACTGTTTATCTCTTGACGTTTCTCTTCCCATTCAGTATACAGTAGTCTAGTGTAATGTCGCGTCGTCCTCATATTCACCGACTTCCAGATATACTGTTGTTATGAATGTCAAGTTCATTTATGGACTACATACTGTATATGCACCGTTGCTTTTTGCAAAAAAAAATGCAAAAGCAGTGGTTAATATAAATAAATGCACCTCTTCCATATGAAAATGATAAAAATATCCCCCACCTTGGACCCAGAAAAACTTTTTTTGCTGCCATGTTTGCTTTATGGCTTTTATTTCGAAAAAACTGATTTGGAAAGTAACGAATCCGCAGACACTTCAGTCAGTGAAAAGCAATTAAGCTGTCACAAACATGTACAGACCTGTCAACCAGTACAGCACTAAGCTGTTCTCCTGAAATCTTCAGACTCTGAACTACTCCCCCCTTTCATCACATGCTGACTGGTGCTGTCATTGACAGGTGTAGGGGAAGGTGGAGAGGTTTGGATGGCAACTTTAAATAGTGGATAGGAGTGGGTGATGTGTCACGAATATTATAAACTAGTTTTATAAAGTTAATGAACCTTACACTAAAAATAAAAAAAATGCAGGTTTATAATCTGCACTACTGCATGGAAACAAAAAGACATTTCTGAAAGTATCCTGCCAGTGAAAACCTTTTGGACATGTAAAAGATACACAGGAATGGAGGCCACTGAAAAAAATCCAAATATCAACAGACTGTAAATGCATTTATACTAACAAGATTGTTTGAATAAACTAACTGCATTAGATTCAGAATTAAGGGCAAAGCACACAACAATATTCTTATATTATCAACAATTGTTATTTTCATTTGAGCAAATCCGTGTAGTCACAAAGCATTTAAAGAGCGGCCTATGTATTGATTTAAATGTACACAGCATTCAACTTCACTTATGAGGGATGGTTGTCCTCTGCTATTCCACACACTAATTGCATCTCTGGGTCATATTTCTCCCCATTGTTCTGCCAAATAGAGGAAGGACAGCAGATGTTCAAAGACCCATGGCAAACAGGAGCAGCCACAGTGCAATGATGCACGCAGCACATCTTTGATCGCTGGATCGAAAAGGAGGATTTGTTTCGGCATAAATGACAGAATGTAAAATATATATGCACGTGAAAGGATATCTGCCCACATCGGGTGCTGTTGTGTGTAAGTGGCAGCGGAAATAAAAAAAAAAGTAGAAGGAGACGAGAAACTTGCGACTGAATACTGATGAGAGGGCCATCCATATTCTGCAGTTTACTCCCAGGCGTCTTACTGACCTCATGTTTCAAATATTTTCATGGCTGCTGGAGGCTTCAATTCTGATTTCAATTTCAAAGACAGAAAAATGTTCCATTTCTAAACTATTCAAACGATCTTGGCAGTACATGACATTTATATAGGAATAATGGAGTCAAGTAATAGTTCACTGTGCTTATAAAGTTTTACTTCATCTAAATATGTTCTAACAAGAGCTGATGCATTCTCTGCATTTATCTTAGCTTTGAAATGATGAGCACATTAACGTGACTTTAATGCAGGGGTAACTACGCTCTTTTGCATGTAGCTCTATGGCACAATATGAATACATTTAGTAAGTATATGGTCCCTACTACACAAAATTTACCAGCACATATGCAGATTACTGGTCGATTGTGATCTACTTACACAATCGACCAGTAGTACTACGCTACGGGCAATCCTGTTTTAATGCATGGTTATTACATGTTCAGACTTCACTACTATGAATAGTTTATACTATGTACAGTGAATACTACAACTAAAGTCAAAGACACTATTATTGGGTTGTTGATATTCTTTCCTGTACCCAACTTTTGAATAACACCATTGCAGAAAAGACCTACCAACTAACCTGCATATACAGTTCTTTGGCATCAGAGAACTTAAGGGTCAATAACTTAGGAATTACTATACATTCATCTGAGGTCTGGCAAAGTTGGAGCAGGGCCAGTGGTGGAAAAGGGCAGAGGAAGATGATGCAGAGACCCAAGGGACCATAGGAGTACTTCCTCACACCTGGCTCACATTTAGAGCATGTAACCATAGCAACACTGGTTCCTCTTTTCAAACTGGAGATGGGAATGTGTTCTGTCAGGCCCTCTGGCAAATAATAACATGGCAGCCATTCACACCAATATTTGCAAACCATCTCAGTCTCACACAGCCTTGGCCAGGCTTGTAAAACGACAGCCATACAACACTCTCACCCTGAAGCTGTATTCCCAAGTGATAAAAAAAGTGTGTCTTCAACGGCTAGACCGCTCGTTTACATTTGATAACATTAAAACCACATACCCTATACCAGTACCCATCTGGATAAGGGCTTCATTGGTAATAAGGAATAAGGAATGTTGAAAAATTCTAAAACAGATTGTAAAAGATATCTAATTGTAACTAAACATATCAAGACATAATGAAATTATTAAAGATTTGCCACTTGGATCCTTGTCCATGTGATTTCATTTCCCTGATCTGATTAAAAAAAACATATTTAAAGAAACAGATTAAGAGTAGTGTTGTTTATAATTAAATGGAGTATATCTAGAGAAAGCTCTGGACAGCTTTGTCCATGCATTCATTTTCTTCTACCAAATACCTCTGGGTCACGGTGGAAACTAGAGCTGACCCTAGACATTACTGGAAGAAGTTATAAATATAGCTTTGTTATTTTCATTAATTAAGAGTTTAATTTGTCATAGCTATTTGACTTAAACAATAATGAATGTGCTCAAACAGTGTGCCATGAAAACCTTTAAACACATTTAAACTGACTCTATAAATCCTGCACACTCCATGCTCTTCGCTCTTTTGTACATCATCACATTATACTGTCGATGGTCACAAAAACAATAACTGCTCATAATATTATAAAGAAAACCCTCTATTCTCCATTTTTGGTAATTCTGGCTTAAACTTTAAGCACCTGTGGTAGTTGAAACAAACAAAAAACATTTTAATAGAACATGTAAAAAGGTCAAGAGTTCTTCTTCATGCAGTAAAACATTTTTTGGTACTTGAGTAACTGATAAATGCTGGAGATGAGTTTGTAAGAAAACATTAAAGGATGTTAATATTATAGGTGTGTATTTAACAGTGGTTCCCCTGATTTCTCTCGGTCGACAGCTCATACCATTCATCCTCTCATACACTCTCCTTCTCATCCTTTACTCCTTTAATCATGTTATTCACTTATTTGACTTCTGTGCTTTTGTTCCTTTGTCTTTCTCAATAATAATAGCTTACACTTCATTGTACTGGCCTTCATTAGTTTTCCATTCTAGCCTTTGTCTTGCCAGCTGCATCAACATAATTCACAACAGTTTTTCCATATTCATTTATCCTTGCGTCCTTTAAGCTATTCAATTGTTATAAAATTTTGTCCATATCCTTTACAATAATAGTTATTACTTTTTTAGCAACACTCGATGCACCTCCACACTTTTTGTCCTGACAAATCAAAAATTACCTGTTAAACTAAAAATAGTTACCGCAATTAAACAATTATTCTAGGATCACTATATGGACTAAATGAATATTGACCTGATGTGTGTTATTTAGATGCAGCTCAGTGCTGTGTGACCAGTGGACACGGTGGGTCAACATGAGAGTGGCTGTCTGATTCAGCAGCTCAGTGTGTGTATTAATAGTCTATGTGTCAGATCCAGAGCAGTCTGGACATCTACCAGCTCGACCTGGAGTGCTGATCAGGAAGTGAGAGAAGTGGAATAGATAACAGGTGGACATGACAGGCACAGTACAGTAAGTTGACCAAGCAGACAGACACTGGAAGACTGATATTAAGCCCAGCATCACACATAGCATTTTCCATCATTTAGCTAATAATCAATCCATGCTGGGTTCTTTTCTGTTTGTGAGGACAAAACCTGTACAATTTGTTTTATTTTTCGGATTGTACAAGATTACTTTACTGCATTGTGCATAAATATAAATTCACTATATTCATAACATGCATGATTGAATAGTACATGCAAGCCAGTGCTATTATTTTGAAATTCATCTTAAGCTTAATCTTAAGGTACCATAAATATACAACTCCAAAGCTATTTTTACTCAAATTATTTTCTGACATTAATATTATTACTATTACACCATGGAAAGGAAAAGAATAAGTAAAATGTACACAACACGAAAAACTTAGAGTGGGATTTCAGCAAGCCGATTTCTGCGCATAAATGTAAAATATAGGTTAGCTGGAGGCCATGGTGCATTTCCTGGGGAACTCCTCAGGAACTGTAAATTTTCCATTAAATATGGTATATATGTACTGAGGTACTATATTACAAAAACAGCTTAGCACACTAGCTTATTGGTCAGTAGGAGTTTAAAAACTTTAAATTATCTCAATTTATAAAGGTAAAGTCTGTCTATTTTTGGCAGAGGAACACAACACCTACATCACACAAGATGTAAATGATGTGCATATAGTAGGAGTAGTAGTTTTTTTTTGCAGAGTACTCTCCTTGTCTCCAATATGTAGAACAAATATAGATCTGTCAACACCCGGTGAGATTAATAATGCCATACTGTATGTATGGTAATAGAGCAAAATACACAATGTATTTTCAGACATTTTTTCCTTTTTCCTTAAAAACTAGCTTCTGTGAAAGACGCCTTCCCCTGAGCATCATGTCATGAAGTTAAAGTGGAATGACAAAACATGCAAATATTTTAATCTGGGTCTGTCTTCCAATTGATATGAACTTAAAACCAAAGTTAACTGGTGTCGGTTGATAAATAAAAGCCAGAAGAATCGCTATTGAAAAGCAGAACCCAAATAGACTACAATGAAACGTAACCATGTTAAGAAATATTTATACTTAATACAGGTTGTAAATGACAGATAATTTGGCAGAATGTCTTTGGCCAGATAAAATAGTTCTTGACAGTGCCAGCCTGTCTTTGTCAACAGCTAACTGCAGCATCCAGCTTCAAATACCTTCCTGTGCGAGTGCAAAAAATGACCTAAAAAAACCGCATGGTCCCATCTAACAGCAGCAGAAATTGGTAAACAGGCCCTGCAGTTAAAAGCTGTTTCTCATACCCTAATGGTGCAAACACCAGATCGAGCTAAATAGAGCTGCAGGGGACAGAGGGACACAGAGCAGTTTCAATGAGTGCCAGTGTTTTAATTCTGACCTACAAACACCAAGCCCAGTCTAGGGATGGGTACTGCTGACTGAATTGGCATGTAATGATGTGCACAGAAAAACTTGTGAATGATTATTACCCTAAGACACTAGTAATTATTAACAATCTAAAGTAATATTAGCAATGCAGCATGTCCCCTTCCCCAGTTATAACATCAAATTGGTGGTTCATTGCATCAGCGATAACAAATTAATTTGATAGCAGAACTAAATTAAACTTGTTGAACTACTGGCTGTTTATGTGTCTCTGAACACCAGCACAATAATACAAAGATCCCTGATTGAACCAACAGAGTGAGACGTCTCATTTGAGATATCTGGCTTGAGTGGCTGAATCATGAATCATGAACTGCTGGATTTAGCTCAGGAATCTCATTCAACAAGACGGAATTATGTTGTTCACTGCACTGTGTCAGGTATCAGTGGACACCTAGGCAAAATAAATTAAAAGAAGAATTGCACTTGTCAATGGCGAAAAACAACAGTTCGGGGAGTCTAAAGTTGTGACAACAAAAAAGATAAAATTTGATTGTAAAGGATTTAAAAGTAGCTTTTGAATGTTAAATTAAAATTGGTATAAGACTAAACATATTCCACAGTATTAAATATGTTAATGTCTCTTCTCAATTTAACAGAACAGTGGAGAGATGAGGAGCTTAAACCTCACCTGACATTGTTACTCGGTAATGATGAGTACACAATTGAAAATTTTCTGTTCATAGTGGTTTGTGAAAATATTACTGGGACAAAATCTTTTACTATGAATACACTATACGCCAAAAAGTGAGGAGCACTTTCGGCTGGTGCAGGCAGAAAGGCATTAGGAAATCACAAGCAATAGGATTGGCAGGATCTTAAAGACCTCAGTTTGTCCACACCTGGTATAGACATTGGTTTCATATTTTACTAACACCTTTTAAAATATTTATCAAATTATTATAAAATTACAATTATTATACTTTTCTGAAACTGTGCCCACCTAGTGCCCTGACCTAAGCTACCTGATGTGACAGATATTACATCATGTCATGGAAGGACTCACTATCCATCTGTCTGCACTGTCTCAGTCCTTGTAGAAATCAATGAGCCAGTTAATTTGGTGCAACGGGACACCCATGGACATCACTGCTAGTGGAGCTGACCTTGTGGCACATGGTCTCATGCAAAACGCAAAATGATCAGTGTCAAGTACTATTACAAGCACGCGGCTTGAACACACAGTTTTAGAACAACATTTAGAACATTTAGAACAAGTACAACTCTGAATAAGTATGGCTGCATAACAGCCTGGAACACAACCAACTTATGGATGTTGAGGATTAAACCAAACCATGCCAGCCATGATAAACATGTCTCTGAACATTGCAAAATAGATGCAGAAAATATAAAGAGACAATGACAGAAAGGATTGTGTGTTTGCTATATTGAAAGTTACAACAATTTTAGCTTGCAATTTCAATATCTGTGTTGTATAATAGCTCAGATGCTATGAGCACTGTGTAAAATAAATACAGTATTGATATGTAAATGCTTGTTCTAATTTCACCAACATGACTAATGTTTAGCTTCTGGAGTTGTATAGAACTCAGCCTTTGCAAAATTACTCACGAGCTTCTCCCAAGTTCCAAAAACTGTATTTATTGGTGTCTCTAAAATTTCTAAACACATGGATCACAGCAGTATAGTAAGTGGCTTCAAGTCTCTTGAAGGCAACAAGATGTTATTTTGATCTTCAGTCTAATAACCATTGCCTTATAGGATATGCATATATAAATGTAATTACATTTAAATCCTACTACCTACCTTTTTAAGTATTTTGATATATCATCAGAATGCCACATAGTGGAAAGCATGTGGCATGTCTTCTGAAATTTCTTTAAGCTGCAAAATACAGTGTTGCACGTAGTTCTACATTGGAAAGAGAAAGCTTATCAAGTTATATTTGTGGTCTGTGACAAAGCAACGGATATGTCTTAGCTGAAATTAGGTAAAAACCACAACACTCTTCCTTCATTTAATCAATAATACATACATTAGCACAGTGAACCTGCTAATGGCACATTTACACTTAATACTGTATGTACTTGTCATAATATTTTTATTTCTCAAATATAAAATTATTTTTACATGTTAAAAAATATTTGGTATACTAAGTACTTTAGTCTTGTTATTTTTGAAATGCTCTTACAGAAGCCAGTGTTACACCAACAAAATCCCCTTGGGATCATTTATGAATTTCTCATTTTAACTTTCTAAAATGTGCTAATTTAAGAGTAGCCTAATTTGTAGCTTAAACACAATGCTGAAGAAAGCCACAATAAACCTCAAAATGTGCTAATACATGCGCACATTTGAAATACAAATATGCGCATGTAGCTTTTTTATGTGGTTGAAAACGAGCATGATGTTTCCTGTGTGATGCTAATCAAATCTTTTGCTCACATCCTGTCTTAAGTAAAGCTCCTCTTTTTAACTCTGCCTCATTTTTATTCATTCATTTCATAACTTCAACATCTTCATCAGGTTTCCTTACCTACAGCTGGAGCATCATACTCATCACCCAGCAGTATTTCAGGTGCAGAGTATGCCAGAGATCCACAACTGGTCGTCAGCTTTTTCCCAGGCTGAAATTTGTTGCTGAATCCAAAGTCTGTGAGCTTGACCAGCCCTTGCTTTTCAAAGAACACAACATTCTCTGGCTTGAGGTCTCTGTGCACCACGTGGAGCCGATGACAGTAGGAGATGGCGTGGACAATCTGGGCAAAGTATTTCTTAGCCAGATCTTCATTCAAACCCTCCTCATGCTTCATGATGTAGTCGAACATATCTCCTCCATCGCCAAGCTCCAAGATTAGGTAGAGTTTGGTCTGAGTGTCTATCACCTCATACAAGCGCACAATGTTGGGATGCTGGACCAGTTTCATGCAGCGGACTTCCTGAAATAGATGACCTGTGGCCACACTGTCAAGCTTGGTTTTGTCGATCACTTTCACTGCCACTTTTTCTCCAGTGAAGACATGACGCGCTAGCTTCACCACAGCAAAATGGCCACGGCCTAGCGTTTTGTCCAGGTCATAGAGGCCAGCGATCTTGCCATCGTAACCGCGCTTGAAGCCCGCCATTGCTGCTGAGTGTGATGGAGAGAAGGGAGCCCCCTGTGTAGGCAGGAACTTATTTGCTGACTTGTGTGGATCCAGTTTACTCGGTTCATCGAAAGCTGAAGGAGAATCCCATGGCTCTGGCTTCCTTTATAAAAAAAAAAAGAATACATTGAGGAGGCAAGCAAGCAAGGGACATGTGTATGTATGACATATTGAAAAAGGTGTTGAAACTGTACAGTAAAACTGTGCAGGTGCAATATTAAAATGAATGGGTTCAATACTGGTTGCTCAGAAACAGGCTTTAGTAACACATGAAAAAGGTGGACCATAAAAGAGAGGAAGAAATAGAGCCAACTAAGCTGTTTTTAAGATCTCAATTTGGAACCTTCAGATTTTGCTGTTTACACACAATGCTTACAGTGGAAGACTATCTGGGGAAGTCGTGTTAAAAATAGCAGAACTGTTTTTGTGAGGAGATAGTTCATACAAAGGTAATGGCAAAGAAATCTCTTTGTCTTTACATGAATTTCACAAATGTGATATTCATGTAAAGACTTAAACTTTAACGGTTTATGATCACCTCTTCTTGATTATTATTAAGAATAGGCAAAGAATCTATGTTAGATTCTTTGCCTATTCTTAATAATTACTTAGTTATTACTATAACCTCACACCAGAAGGTAATAAACATATTTGAGTGACTGTTTGTTGAGTAAAACCATTTTAACTGCAATGAAACAGATTTCAGAGCATGGTTTTTAGCGGCAATAATCTTGAATATGAAAAGGACATTGTCATACACTTTCAAATGTAAAGCCAAGGATGTTGACAAGAAGTTATTTGTTTTAGAGATAACTTATTTGAATCAAGTTCTTTAGTTGCTAACATTGTATTTGTTTTGAGAAAGGCTTCCTGAGTTAATTTTGAAATAATTTTCAAAACCTACCTCCACTTTCTGAAAATGCATTTTTTTTTTCCTTTTGTCCCAAAATTAACCCTACCCATTTTAGCTGTGCCTTAAGTTTTTTTTACATACTTAGAACAAGAGTGTATGAAATGTTCTCAGACTGAACAGGTGTGGGGAGACACGAGTAAATTTGAGCACGTTTTGTAATTTTGTTTTATGGAAAACGTAGAATTTTACATGCAAAAATGCTGTAGGGTATACGTACATATGTTTTAAAATTAAGGGTACTTCCTCAAAGCTTTACAGCCTTTAATTTTTCCATATTTGTTGCACTTCAAAATTCAAGTTCAAGCACCATTTTATCACTGCCCTGGTACAAGAATGGTTTGAATAAAACAAAACTGTTTATAATTAAACTGATGTGAAATGTTAAAAAATGTGCTGATTAGAGTTTATGGTTACTTAGAAACAATAATGTAAAGATTTTAGTTCATGACCAAAGCACAAAATCTGTTATTTGCTAGATTGTTTTATTTGGACATGATGAGAACAGGATGGGTCTCCATATTCAGTCTGTTTGCAAAAAATCTTGCCCTGGATTTTGATAAAAGTCACGAGGCAAAGTCTTCAAAGTAAAAATATCTGCTAATATTTTATTGATTCCTGTTGATTTTTGGTTATTCTAATATTCTGTAGATTTTTTTCCTTGTGCCATGATTTGCTGTTTCTTTGCTGGAACTGATATCTAAATGGTTTTAGTTTAATATCCATGTAAAAATCTGTACGTCCAGCTCACACTTATGTCTTAAATCACTAATGCACTGACTCACTGCGAACCACTGTGCTGCAGGCTAATGCATGGATGTACATACTTTGAGTCAGTCGAACAGGTTCCATGAACGTAATCTGAAAACTGTATTCACTTAAATGATTGACACTGGAATAAATGTTGCACTGCATATGCCAGTATAAGATGGTGTGTTTTAAACTCCTGCTTCGTCATACATATATGAAACACAAATACTGTAAGTACTGAATAACCTGGCGTTAGCTTTACACGGCTAACTCGTTGTTCATTGATTGAGCCATTGTAGGTTTCCGGTTGGATGACATTTCCCACTAATTCTTTGTAAACGTCCTACTTACTTACAAAGCTAGCAAGGTGTTAAAACAACCAAAGAAAACGAGTCCTCCATTTAATGTGGAAACCAAAAAGATAGATTCTACCACTGTCGTAAACACCAAAAATACACACTGTTAGCCACAGTTAGCACTATAGCATGCTAAAGTTACTACGGCTCTGCTCACCTCTCCAGCCTTTGCCTCAGTAAACATTAAAGCCCCAGAATCCGGGCTTCGCCGGCTCCGTTCCTTCCTTAAGGTACTGGCTACCGGAACTGGTGGAAAATTATCCGAGAAGACTGTGGTAGTGCCGCCGTGCGGAGGTGTCTGCGGCACTCAGACGGCGCCCGTACCCATGGTTTATCCGTGAAACAAGTACTTGCATCGTTGGCAACAGCGAGTCTAATCCGAATGTTCGCATCCTCCCAACACAGGCGGAGGGGCCGTGGTGCTGCCTTCACATGTCTCCAAAAACTGTCGTACAAACAGTCCTCAAACTTATGTTTCCTTGCACAATTAGATAATCGTCTCACATACACATACATCATGGGTCACAAACCTTTTTGAAACTAAGAGCTACTTCAAGGGCACTTAGTAATACGAAGAACTACTTGTTTAATACAGACTTCTTGAACAATGTAAGTAAACAATGGTTCTGGTACATACAATAACAGACACTCTTCTTACCACCATTGCACCCATTTGAATATCACTGCAACTGTAACTGATTCAAAAAGTACCGTATTTTTCACCGCCTTCTTGACTAGTTTGATTTTTAGAACATACCCAGTGGGTACCTTAGGTCAGCGTTGACATACTTATTTTCTGGGGACCCATAATTTTAATTTTTAAGTATCAAACCTTCTGCCACCCAAGTCAATAGACATTATTTGTAAACTCCTGGGAAACATGATGCGAGACGACCCCCCCGTCCCCCCTTAGGCAAGAACCTAAGTACAAATTAATAACTGAGCAAAAAACGTAGCAAGCAGCTGGCCCCGCAAAAAGATGTGAAATAAACACATGAAAAACAATCAAAGTCCTAACTAATAAAAGAAAAAGGCATAAAGTTCATTAAAACATAGGGGAATAGCAGATGATAATTTTTTTAACAACACTAAAAAGTATTAGAATACAACCCATTTTAAACTATTTATTTGATTTGGATTTAAATTAAATTAAAATTAAATTAAAATTAAAAGCACTGTGAAGTAAATACCTAATATGGTGCTTTCTACGAAGAACCATGAAGGCAGCACAAAAGCATCGCCTCAAGCAGCTCTGACGTCAAACTTAGTCTTTGAATGGGAAAGGCTGGTGAGCATTTAAAAATATACAATAGCTTAGCACATTATCCCATTACAAAGGCTCAGCTGGCTGGATGTTATGGAACTTTGAGACGAAGACTGTTGACTGTACTGAAGTCAAGAAAAGCTCTAGTTCCTCTCAGAAGTCTTAGTGTTCGTTTTGTAATACTGTTGCTCAAAGGTCTTTTTATTAAAATGTGTGCAGTGACCTCTAGTGACTGATATTTCATATGACAATTGTCTGACCAAAGTAAAAATAAATGTATTAAAAAATTGTTATTTTATACCTATCAGGTATCATTTAAAAATTAATCAATTACAATTCGGGACATGTATGTGGTTATATCAATTAGAGGAAATAATACAATTCGCAATGAGTAATAATAATGATAATAAATTTAACCAATACTTATTTTTTTTCTAAGTTTAACCTCGAGATGGCAGAGTTGTTTGCATTTTTTGAGAAATAGGCATTATACCATATTTTAACTGTATTTTGCTGTATTAGAATTTTTTGCTTTCTTCTTTAGCTTTTCAAAATAATATATTTGCATAGTTTTATAAAAAGCAAAGTGTCTTTACTAATAAACTGCTATGTCCAGGAGACAAGGTATAGAAATAAAAGCAAAATACACTGAATCAATATTAATTTGAACAGTTATCCTCGTTCACTAACGATCCATTAACTGTTTTTCATATTTGTTGATCTGATCGACAACTAAACATCTTTGTTTAATTTAACATGTATTTGAGAAAGACTGTTAAATAATGATAGACAACATATGTAATATGTAATAATTATGTAATAATAATAATAATAATAACCATCATCGTCTGAGTAAACATTTGGTGGACAAAATTATTTTGTTCCGGATGTAAGGATGTTACTGCTGCACACGCAAAAAATACAGATAGTCTCGCGAGATCTGAGACCGGGCTATTCTTTATTCGGCAACGGTAGTAGGTGGAGACTGGAGACAGAGGAGGCTAAAAGCGGAGCTGCAACTCTGCCACTTTCTGTTTCTGTGTCTCAGTGAGAGGTGCCCGATGTGTTCTACTCGCCATGCAGTGGGTGTTTTCGGGGACTGAGAACATTGGTTTGTCCGTTTGAGTCCCCCGCAGCTGGTCTATTCTGGTGTCCCCTTCTTCCTGTCCGCTTGTTCCCATTCAGCGTCCGTCTTTGCAGCAACTGATGCTGCTTCTGCTTCACTGAGCTAACGACTCAACTGTCTCCAGAGACGACACTACATTGTCCCACAGAGAGCTGAGGTAATGATCACCAGCACCGGTCAAATTACATTTAACGACTAGATTTGAATTACCCATGGTAACGAGGTAACAACGTAATAACAACGGTATATAAATACAGTATATGGATGTCAATCTTGAGTAGAGATTTTTCCAAGCTTTTTCCAATTTGATACAAAGGTCGACCGATAGGAATCATTTTCAAGACTGACATGACAATATCAACATTTATTTATATTTTATATGGCGTGATACGAATGCAACAATTTCTAAATTAGCAGTTTTTTTGTGAACTGTTTTTTGAAAGTTATTTTTCTATTAAATATATAAACAGATGGTCGGATTTCTTATTCCTTAATTTGAATTTGACCTGTTTTAAACCGTAAACTGCATAACATTTTCAAATTAATTTATTAATAAATGTTAGTACTTTTTACAAAAATCATGATGGGTATCTTTATCTCACAGCAAGGAGGTCACCAGTTTGTTCCATGTCCTGGACAGTTTTGCATATTGTCTAAGGGACACTAAAGGACTATGGTAATACATGTTAGTTACAGCCATAGAGCTAAATGAGAACTGGATAGAATGGTCAGCAATTCTATAGTAACGATGCAAAAAGACTGAAATAGCTCAACTGGTCGCAAAAGTAACTCAGTATATATATATACAGTATGTATAAATTTGACCATATGTAATAACTAATACATGTATTCAAAACTTATCTATCTGTTCAATAAAACCACTTAAAAATGGTTCTTGCACTAAGTTTGACTTGTTAAAGTGATGAAATACAAATGCTATGAAACAGAACAGTTTAATTCGTGTCTTTTATACCCTGAGAGCCAGGTGTTGGTGAAGCAAGAAGTGTGCATTTTCTTCTGATTTGGCAATTAACACACTCCAATCAAGGTTCATATGGATTCAGGTGATGCTGTAGCAGGTAGTTGGTCCAGGCTGTAACTAGGCCAGTCAAACATTTACATGCTTTGCATCCCCCACAATTTCACTTGATGCTCTTTTAATGCCATTATTTAGAGGAGAGACTGTGTGGGAACTGTCACAACAATCTCAAGAGAATGTTCATCCCATTTTTCTGTGTTCAGTATTTGATGATTAATATACAGAATTATAAATTCAGAAAAGATTCTTCTTTCTTCTTTGTTTAAACAAATTATTATTTTCTGCAAAATTCAAATATGTAATAAACAAGCATAGAAATCAGATAAAATATACTTAAAATATAATTAACAACCCTAAACATCTAAAACTGCCATGAATCATATTTTTAAAATATTAATTATCAATTATTTAGTAGTTTATTACTTATAGTTTTTTATTTTATTCTGCACTTTCTGTAACTTAACCCATTGTTATTATGCACATTTTCTGTATTACCCATGTAAGCAATACTGGCCATTCTTATTTTACATTTTGTGCGTTAAATATATGGATTGCCCTGAAGCATAAACCCTAGAGTAAGATATGCTGCATATTCTTTAGTCTAAATTGCCGCCTTTGCAATTCTTTTCATTATGGTAATTAATAATAATAAATAATGTGCTGCTTCAGTACAAGGTGTATAAAATAAAAGGTGAAAACAGTAAAGTTTTCTACTATTTATCTTTGGAACTTCCGTCCTTCCTGTAGCTGTGAACCTTTATTTTCAGACTCTGAACTCGGCACATTATCCTCCTTCTGATCTTAGATCCTGCTCACGTCTTAGGGAATAATTCAGTTTTTTTTTTTCTCTGCACAGCTTTTCCCTCTCAAAAGTGAAATGCTGATAAGCGCAGCAGAGGCTTGCGTGTTATGAACACTGTTGCTTTTTTAAAAGAGAATTTCTCGCCTTCCAAAAATAGTTGATATTCATGTACTTTATATCTTCTGGCTGCTGAGCAATATTGACTTGCATGACTTTTTTTAAAGTTTCACCACACATGCAGTTACACAGAGTGTGGTTCACAACTCTTTTAGGAAACAGATTATGCATGAGGCTGAACGTAAAAGACACACTCCATGAGAAGTTCCTGTAGAAGCTGACCTGACTGGAATTGAAACGTCAGTCTTGAGTGAGTTGTGGCACAAGGGCACATTAGGGATTGTTAGTCTTGTTGCTTTAGCTTTATTTGCAATACATATTATACCTCAATCATAAAGGGAGGAGTAGATCACTATCTCAGATGTACAATGATAGAAAACAGCAGCAAGTTCTGGAAAAAAGTCGCTGATTTTATTAGATAAGGGTTTTTTATTTGTGAGCCGTTTTGTGGGTTGTTTTGTCTTTCACCCCTGTTTGCTGTTGTCTTTCCTCACACATACAGTACAACATGGGACTGTCAGCTTCAGGTCATGCTTCTAAACATTTTTCCATATTACTATTTCAATAATTCGGTTTAGTCAAAAATAAAAAAAGTGTGAAACACATACATCTACCTGCTGTTATAGTTCAGTCTATTGCACTTATTTCTGGTCATATTTAGAAGTATTGATTTACCTGGATTAATTACTACAATCATCATTAATACACAATATTTCTAACATTATCCACCATGACCTTTTTCTTAACCCTCCCTGCGTCTGTGGACTTAATCACTATTTTTTCAGATTTCCACACAACCCCACGACAACAAATAAATCAAACTGCAGAGTGTGTACTCTGTGTAAAATAACAGCTGTAAGACAACATTGTTCCCTCATAAGCGTACTAGGTGCATAGGACATACACAGCACTGTCAGCAGCCTGTGTGACAGTATTTCATACAGCAATACTGCAGACTATTCCCTACGGAGATTCGAACAGGATAAAAATCCTGCTAAATTCTCAGGTTACCCGTGTTTCAAAAATGGATAGTGTCAGCATCTTTAGTGCACTCGTAGATATCTTCACCCTTCATATTCTGTTTCTGTCCCTCTCTGGACTATTGCCCGTTGTCCTCAGGCAGTGTTAAGACGCATCGCTGGGTGTTGTGTGTGTTTTTTTTAAAAAGAGGATGTCCATCTCAATTTGTTCCTCTTTGTCTGTCTATCGCCACCACACAAACACACAGATTATGCTTCACCTTCTCATGCCCTTTGGGAGAAGAGACAGCAAAATGTAGTTGCAGCCTTCAAGTCTTACTAGATGATGCTAGATGATGATTTTTAAGAAACCGGAGTTGGACACAAGCGATTAACACATAGGTGATGTGCCTTAACAAGGCTCAAGATCGGTTTATGACTCATGTCACTAATTATGACTCGCATTACAAAGCACTCCAGTCAAGAGTCAGAGAGGAAGAGACGGTAGGGAGATAGAGAGAGACACTGTCCTTGTTGAATCAGATAATAGCAATTGGGTCATTAATTTTCATAGTGTCACCCTAAGGTGGAGTTGGACAGTTGAATAATGTCATCGTCAGTCGCCGACGGCAGACAGGCAGAGCAGCATCACGTCACTCTAGTGTTCCTCCCACACATGCCAATAGAACTGTTCCTTCAACCCCTCTGTCCTCTATCTGCTCAAGGGACAGCACAGCTGCAATATTAACATATGCAAATAGCCTAATATGACACATTGTCTTTGTCTGACAACAGGGATTTTTAGTACTCTCCATTAGGAGAGCAATTACCTCAGTGAGTGGCTTTTTCAGATATCGGCATCTTTTTGGATGTTCTTCTCGTGTCGTACACCAGCTCTAAAACATGGACATTTTTTAGCATTTTTACTCAAAGAAACTGCAGAGGTCATTCACATGCCTCCCTGTGGGAACATAGTCCACTGTGAAAGGGATTACGCAGCACTGCTGGCACTGGGAGCTTCTTGTTGCCCTTGTCCTTGTAGAACCAAGGAGCAAGCAGGAAGAATGGATAATGATGACTTTCAAGGTCTGATGTACTCTCAAGTATTTGTAGGAGGTAATTATACTTTTACCCACGATGTCAGAGGACAGTGGTGGAGCATTGGAGTTTGAAATCATGAATTTATATTTGAACAGAAATGATTTTAAATTGTGCTCTACATGCTTTACAGGTCACATTTAAGCTGACGCACAGATGATGGTTATTATGTCAGCGTGTGTTTGTCCTTGGTATTTAATTTAGTATCTATCTGTGAATTGTTCTCTTGGTATTTAAATTAGAGATTGGAAAGCAGAAGGTCAAATGTGTGTGTTTTAAAAAAGAAACATTTAACAAAAGCTAATGAATTATGTTACATAAGTACTTGCTGTATATACGTATGGCCTTTTTTCATACTACTGATTTATTATATAAGCAGTCCTAAGCAGGAATAGTAACATTAAGTGCTGGTGATAAGTAGTATTTGGAACTCAACTTCAGGTTCTTAAAATCATTTTATATTCTCTGCTGTCAGATTTGTTCACTCAGGGACATTTTACTTGCTAACAGGAAAAAAACAGCATCACTGCTGTCTCTTACTACTGGGGCAGATGAGGAATGTAAGATTAAGCTGTGCTTGGAGCACCACCTACTGGATTGTTTTCTATTTCAGACAGCCTGCTATGAACTGCCACAGTAAAATTGTAGTATTACATAAGTAATGATTTTTTTTTCATTTTGTAATTTAATGACTACGTTTTTGAATGTCTTTTCTCTCTTTAGCTATCGCCTGGTGATAGATGTCTCATTTCATCAATCAAACTTCAGAGACCAGTTGTAGTCGGTTGGAGAGTCTACAGCAGCAGTGATGAGGGCAACGGTGACAGGCTGCAGGATGAGTGTCGGAGCACTCCTAAACGGGCTGCTGGTCTCCGTGCTTGCGGCTCTTCTGTGGAAGTACTCCAAGCTGAGCGAGCACGCTGCACTCTTAGAGGAAGAGTTGCACATGACAAGACAGTCCCAGGAGCTTTCACAAGCCCGCATTGATTACCATGTTGCCCTGCAGACACTACAGGAACATGGAACCAACATGGTCTGCACTGGCAAAATGCACACTGACCGCATCTGTCGCTTCGACTACCTGTGCTACTGCTCAGAGGCAGATGAATTTATATTTTTCCACTCCAATTCCTCCGTCATGTTACCTAACCTGGGGTCGCGACGCTTCCAGCCTGCCCTTCTGGACTTGTCATCAGTTGAGGATCACAACACTCAGTACTTTAACTTTTTGGAACTCCCAGCTGCCGCTTTAAAATTCATGCCCAAGCCTGTCTTTGTACCAGACGTGACACTGATCCCAAACCGGTTTAACCCTGACAACTTGATGCATGTATTCCATGATGACCTCCTCCCAATCTTCTACACCATGAAACAGTATTCAGACTTGGATGATGAGGCTCGGCTAGTGTTCATGGAGGGCTGGGGTGAAGGACCACACTTTGACCTCTATAAGCTTCTCAGCAGCAAGCAGCCACTGCTTAAGGAACAGCTCAGGAACTTTGGCAAGCTAATGTGTTTCACCAAATCTTACATTGGTTTGTCGAAGATGACCACATGGTACCAGTATGGGTTTGTGCAACCGCAAGGGCCTAAAGCCAACATTTTGGTCTCAGGGAATGAAATTCAGCAGTTTGCGAGGGTGCTAATGGAAAAAATGAACATAACTAGGGCAGAGGAGGCAGAGAAAGATGGTGGAAGTGTAGAACGTGAAAAGGAAAAGGAGAAATACGATGATTACGCCGTTGTCTTCAGCCGTTCAACAACAAGGCTAATACTCAATGAAGCAGAGCTAATACTGGCTCTGGCCCAGGAGCTTCAGATGAGGGTGGTCACAGTATCACTGGAGGAACAGTCATTCCCCAGCATAGTCCAGGTGATCAGTGGAGCTTCTATGTTAGTCAGCATGCATGGAGCTCAGCTGATCACGTCACTGTTTCTGCCCAGGGGTGCAACTGTGTTGGAGCTGTTCCCCTTCGCTGTGAACCCAGAACAGTACACACCATACAAAACCCTGACTTCTCTTCCAGGCATGGATCTCCACTACATTTCTTGGAGAAACACCAAAGAAGAAAACACTGTCACTCACCCAGACAGGCCATGGGAACAAGGAGGCATTGTTCACCTGGAGAAGGCAGAGCAGGACCGAATTATAGCAAGTAAGGAGGTCCCAAGACACCTTTGCTGCCGCAACCCAGAGTGGCTCTTCAGGATCTACCAGGACACTTTGGTGGATATCCCCTCCTTACTTGATGTCCTAAAGGAGGGAAGAAACTCAAAAACCAACTTTAGGAAGTCAAAACCAGCCAGTACGGTTCACCCAGGCCGGGTGAGAGAACCTCATTGTCAAACATCTGTACAAACGAGGAACGAGGCCAAACTCACAGTCTCCTGGCAGATACCGTGGAACCTCAAATACCTGAAGGTACGGGAGGTAAAGTACGAGGTCTGGATCCAGGAGCAGGGAGAGAACACCTACATGCCTTACATCCTTCCCCAGCAGAACTACACTTTCTCAGAGAACATCAAACCTTTCACCACCTACCTGGTGTGGGTCAGGTGTATTTTTAACAAGAACCTCCTGGGTCCATTTGCAGATGTTCTCATGTGTAAGACTTGAAGACACCAGGGTTCGTTGCTGTTCCACTTATGACTGTTCCACACAATCTGAGTTGTTAAGTGGATGTCGAGTGGTAATCCTGGGGAAGGATGTAGACAGCAGGGCTTGGTCCTACAGAAGTAAACCATTACATGAACATTTAGGAGATCTGTGGCCAGCCAGGAGAACATATCAACTTTGGGATGAACACCAGAGCCAGAACTAGATGGCAACAGTGAACAGTAATGGAAACTTTTTCCTGACCCTTTGAGAGAAAGTGCAAAACCACGCCTCTACTGACAGTTGCCAGAATTCAGATTTATTTATGTGCAAAAATAATATATACCTTAATTTCTAGTACTAGTCAAAACACTGGCTCCAGACCTTTTACAGTATGCAATGTAGCTTTTTTCTGTGAAGAGGAAGAGATTTTAGTATAGGATAAAGTTTTTTATGTCGCTTTTTTTCAATAGTCTAATGTCAAATATGTGTTAAAGTCGGGTGTTTGTTTCCCTCACACATGACTGAATGACATGCAGCAGTATTTAAGAAACCAAATCAATACCAAAGCATTTTCTTTACATAGTATCTCAAACTAACATTCATTTTCCCATATTCTAACTAGTATTGACCTAAAAATCCCAATCCTAGATTTGTATTAAGTACTGTTAGTGTCAAAATGAAGTTTCTTAAAGGGACAGTTCAGGGTTTTTTTTTTTAAATCTATACATATATATAGAGAGAGAGACAGGTGTCAGTTACTGACAGCCAGTATTTAGCATGAAGTCAGTTGGGGTGTGGTAGCAGAAGAAGGTAGACACGTCTTTGTGTCATGCCCTAATTTTAGAAATATCTTCGTCCTTAGACTGGAAAATGTTTTTCTTTGTTGCTAGTTAATGTTTGGCTTTCCTACAACACTTAACACAAAGATTTTGTGTTTTTAGCTCGTTGCTGCTACCATGTTAGAATTACTTGGCAAAGAGTGACTGAACTACGTATTTGAATTAAGTGATAGTGGCAGTGAGGATCAATATCTCCTTGGTGCTGTAAAATCACATCTTTTCTCTACCGATTTCAGTGCAATGGAGTATTCAATTTACAAGTAACACAATCTTTAAGTTGCTGTTAAACTAAAGTGTGGAAGCAGATATTTTATCGTCGGAATATATTAGGGGAACATTTTGTTGATTTGCTCAGTTCTGTTGGTGCCCCTGAACATGTGCCTGACTGTCTCGTAGGAATATAGGTGGTCAGAGTTCACAGAGCAGCGTGTGTAAACTGCTGACTCTGTGCAACCACCAGAATCATTCCTTTTCCTCTGATCAATGGTTTTAGCACCAAAATGCAAATATTTGTGCAATTTTTATTTACAAAAAGTGTTTTTGAAGTATAAAAAAAGACTTTTACGTGATTTCTTTTTGACAGGTACTTGTGATCTGTGCAATGCTTACAATTTCACACGAAGATTAGAACGGCTGCCAGGATATTATAATGAAGCACTGTCCTTCCTGTGGATTACTGGATTCTCTTCTATTTTAATAACTAGTGTGAAAATTGGTTTCATTAAGACCAGCTCTGATGTAACATATGATTTCAACACATGATACAGCGGGGAGGTGTAATTAACAGGTATTTGTAAGCACAGGTTTACACCTGGAGTTGAAGTATGGCTGTGAAAAAAAAAAAAGTCAGGTTAGACTGCAATGATTTTTTTCAATAATTAATTAAATATTTGTAATAACTGACTTGCTATGAGGACAAAGTGTCTGACGACGAAGATTTTGGACACAGAGTCCAAAAAATTGAAGACAAGGAAAAGATCAAACATGTTTCTCCAAAACCTCAAAAGAATGGCTTTGTTGTATTTCTGCTTAAAATGAGTACATTTCAAACAAAAAGCTGAAGCTGAAATTCCTTACATGATATCAAACCAATTCGAAAGGATTTGCCATGAATCAAAAAGTTTGTTCACCTAACAGTTTGTTTGCAGCTCGTTTTTTACTGTTAATTTTCACCACCATTGTTCAGCCTTACTGTACATTAAAACAACAGGACTGTGATGAAGCTCGCTGCTGCTTATCTAGTAGAAACGGTGTCTTCATCATGTTGACATGTGAGTTTGAAGATGTGTATATATTGTAGTAGAAACTGTACGAAAAGGCACAGGTAGACATGCACTGCCACTCAATTGTTGTACTGACTCTGTGCCATTGTATCCTGTCATTTTTGTTGGAATTTCTTTTTTTTGTTCTAATTTTTGCTGCTTTTCAACCTGCCTCAATATCTGAGGGATTTTACCTTTTTACGTTTTTACTTTTTGATATTTTGTCATGTGCCCTGTGTGTCGGGCAGGGTCAGTGTGGATGTGTATCTCACTCCTCTATAGTGTGTGTGGGTGTGTGAGCGTGTGATGTGATAGTGTACATGCATACGTGTTTGTGTTGTTGGTTCGATTTCTGTTCCCTTTTCTATTTTGGTGAAGGAAGATTGGTGGGAGATGTTTTCTACGTTGGCAAATAGTCGTTTCTTTTTCAAATTGAATAAAGAAGCTTCTCTCCTATGTGTTCATTGGTTGGATTCATTCATTTGGTTTAATATTGACATTAATTTGGCCCAGTGTTTTTGCAAGCATATTCTCTATCATGCAAATCCAATAAATACCCAGTTTGATGAAGATGGAGGAGCCAGTGTTGAAGCCTGATGTTTGCTGAAGTTGCTACAAGAGAAACTTGTGGTCATCAGGGAAGAAGTCAGTGTTTGATGTGTCTAATCCAGGCTACTCTACACACCAGGGTTCACTCCTGGGTTGTGTCATCATAGGTAGACAGTTAAAGTATTCTTCTGAGGGATCCTAAGAGTCCAGTTTAATAGTCGTCATCAGATTCGTCCTCCCGATCTGATCCCTCCATCTCCTCCTGCGCGGCCACCAGAGCTTCTGCCAGTTCCCTCTCATCCCTGGGTGTTGGGTCTGGAACTTCTGTGATCTCTTCATCTCCAACATATTCTTTCAGTGGCGTTGGAGGGACAGACGGGCTGAAGCCGTCTCCAGCGCTCTTCACCCCCCATCCAACATATATGTTCTCAAACTTCCTACAATAAAAGATGGCACAGGATAACACTGTTTATATTATAGTAGTGTCACCTTCAGAACCAAAGTGTTGTCATTAGAATAAAGTATAGTATATCAGATTATTCTCCATTACTTTCCACTGGCATACGCATGTCCTCCTTGCCAGAGGTTTGAGCGCAACACAGCTATAGCATGCACGGAGGTGAGGGTGGAGGACATCTTGGAGGTCCAGGGAGGAGTGTTGAACAATTCTGTGAGACAATTCAAAGTTAAAATTAAAAGGCAAATAAAAGTGGATTTCTGCTGCAGGGATTACCAACTAAATCATTATGAAGGTTCTCAAACAAGAGCTTGCAAGAAAGACAGGACTGTAGAGGATGCAGACTTTCCTGAATACTAAAGAGCAGTTTTACCCAATCTGTCCTGCAGCACCCCCTATTGTAGGAGGACTATTGTTAAGCCCCTCTACATCCACAGCGTTTGATTCAAAATTCCACAGAATTTTTAAAGACTAATTCAAACAAAACCATTTTTCTTGCTATCGTGGAACAAATGAAGAAAACATGTAAATTAAGGTTATCTGAAAGCAACCTCAAAACCTCCACGTCATCTTTAGGAGGACACACTCAGTTTTGGGGACCACTGCTCTGGATAATGACACCTTGATGAGCAGAATCAGTAAAACATTGTACACCTACATCCAAGTTCAAATTTTGTTGTTCAGAGAAAAAAATCGTTCTGGTACCAAAAAGCTCCCATATTTTGCACAGGTGACACCTTTAAATTATTTAGCATTAAATGTATCAGATCATTAATCAACTACTAATTCAGGTAATAATGCATCAGTTCATCCAGGAATGTAAGAAAAAGTCCAAATACTGACCGGCATCTTGACTTAATGGAGTAAGCAGAGGAGGTCCAACCTCTGGCTCAGGCTCATCTGGCTCCTCTTCTGCTTCTTCCATGTCTTCGTCCTCGTCTATGTCTTCACTTGGTTTCATAGACAGATTCAGCCAAGTACAGCGACCCTAAAATATTCAGATTCACATGGTGAACCAGAACCCATTCATGAGACGACGAGAAGGCTCCTGCAGCCTACAGAGTTCACGTGTGCTCACCTGTGGCAGGATGTGCTGAACATGATGCACCCAGGTGGACAAGGACTCTGCCATCTCAGAAACTGGAATGCCCTCAAAGTCTGGATTTACATCATAGCTATCCTGAAGTGGCTCACCTTCCTCATCATCTTCCTCCTCCATAATGAGAAAAAATCCCTGGGGGCTGACATGTGTCCCAGCAGAGATCCGAGCAATCTGCGCTCTCAGATAGTTGGCTTCATTCCCGGGAAAAGGAGGGTAACTCTTTACCGGGGCTTCAAGCCTTCCTGTGAATAATTTACGAATCTGACGAGAAACGTCGATTTGTGCGGGAGTGACAGATGGAAGTTTTATCCATGGAAGACCTGGCTCTTTGCAGACATAGTAAAGGAACTTGTTTGCACCTGTTCCCACCGTCTCTTTGGGCACCACTGGAGGAGGTTTGTAGGTTGACTGAGGGACTGCATTCTCCTGGAAAAAAGTTTGGAAAGAGTTCAACAAGAAGAGAAGAGAAGAGAGAAAGAAACAGGGCAGACAGAAAAATAACTCAAATATGATTAACTATAAACGTGATCCAAATGTAGGCCTGGTCCCTGGTGCAGACGACAGCTATGAATTACCTCTCCCCACTCCCTCACCTCCTTGTCATCAGTGTCTGCATCTTTCTGCTCTTCCTCGGTTCTGTCGGGCTGCTCCTCCTCCTCTTCATCCAACTCTTTTCCCTCCACTTCAGCAATGTAGTAGTTGCTTTCAATTCCCAGAATTTTGCCCCACAGTCGGCATCGGAGGAGCTCCTGTGAGTCCACGAGCTGCTTCAGGGCCAGAAAGGTCCGCTGCGTCTCTTCTCTGCCCAAACCAACACCAGCCTGCTCCAGGAAGAAGCTGATCTCGTTGACGTTAGGCAAAGGATTTTCTTCCTAACAAGGAAGAAATGAAAGTATTTATGGTTGATCCAGTCAAATACTTTATGTTTCACAAAAACATTAGTTATACATTATGCTGATTCTCCTGATTTGAAATGTCTTAATACATAAATATTAATAACTCATCTAATTAAGATCATCATGAACTTTGGGTCATGACTGAAAGAACAAGATCCCATATATAAGCGGATGAAATGACCTTTGTCCACGGGTGGCAGGGCGCACCCTTAGAGATAGGGTCAGGACACCTGTCACCCAGGAGGAGCTCATAGTAGAGCCGCTGCTCCTCACCATCGAGAGGAGCCAGCTGACGTGGCTTGGGCATTTACATTGCATGCCTGCAAGTGTGTGCAGTACACACAGCGTTCTACATAGACTGCACACCCACTCTGTTGCGTACTCTATACCTTCACACACAACATCTACACTGTCTAGTTTACACACAACAGGTCTTCTGCGTCTTGGTTGCCCAAAACCACCTGCCGTTGCTTCTCGGCCAGCAGCTCGGCCGGCGTGGTCTCCGGAACGTCCTGCAGGGTGCTCTGCTTGTCTACGTACATACTTCGCTTCACATCACGGCTGATGTCTTCAATCACATCCACCGCATTTTCTGGCTGCTCATCCATCACCTTCATCAGCACATGGGTGAGGTGATCGTAGCTGGAGGTAGGAAAAGCAAAAACGAAATGTTCCGAAACGACTCCAAATCACATGTTAAGGACATTTTGTTGATGTTTTTGGAAATAGTAAAATCCCCTCTGAAACCACTGGTGCACAAATAGTTCAAATGTGGGAAAAGGGCCAACGACAGAGTGCAAAGTAAGGAGAACGACATCAGACACTTTACAATAAGGACAACATTAGTATCAGATGTATTGGTGTCAATATGCTGTTTCCATCAACAGGCACCAGAGAGGAAAACCTGAAAATCTCTGTTAATTTCATCTGACAGAACTTGTCCTGGATGTACTTACAGGTTCAGGTTGCTTTTCGTGCTGTTCTTCAACAGAAAAGCTTTGAGCGCAGCAGCGGACTGCAACAGCTCCGCCTCTTTGTTTTCTTCCATTGTTTACTTCTGTTTCTTCTACACTTGTCTCAGTAATGGAAGCTTAATGTAACTGTAATGGAGAAGCTCAGCTGGATGACCCTTTCCTCTTTGATGTCCAATAGGAGACGTCATGTATACATGTTGCACTCTCCCCTCCTCCGACTCCTTTCCCTTCTCTCTCTTTGCATTTCTAGGCTGTTCCAATCAGCAAAGTGATGCATAAAAGGCAGCTCAAAGTGTACGTTTAATACCACCGATGCTTCCTTTCATGTTGTTCAAACCTGTAGAAATTCTGCCATTCTGTCACTTTTTGCTTGATTATAGAGCTGCAGAGCACCATGGACCAGCATTTCCTCCTGTGGAGACGTTCAAAAAGGTTAAAAGCTTTAGCTTGAAAGCTAAAATTATCAAGTCGATTATAAAGGTTGCTGTGGTAACTGTGTTTTCTTTGTGTTGGGGGTGGTAGTGGGGGGGGGGATACAGACTCCATTTCCCATATATTAATTGGTCAATCCATCCATCCATCCATCCATCCACAGACACACATACAGTAAAAACATACATCCATCCGTTCATGCAGAAATACATACAGACAAACACACATACATCTGTACGTCAGACGTCCATTATTCCATACACTGATAACGTTCAGATTGCATGCTACTCTCTGTCACCATGCCTATTTTGTGTCAGGCTAACCACAGGGACAGAGTGTCATCTTAACATACAGTTCAGTATACAGTAAGGAGAGAGAGGAGAGAGACGAAGTGTTGTTTTTTACTTTACAAGAATAATGGTGGACTTTCAGGAGCCTGAGGAAACCAGACTTTCCCATATTTTCTTTGCAAACATTACAATGAAACTCCACGGAGTCCATTTATCATCATTAGAAGAGAAGTCACATAAAATCAACTGAGTGCAGTTCCCCTCTGCGCTCCATCACTCTTATCTTATGTAAACAGAGGAGCAGCTCTGAATTTCTGCCATACTTTTATATTGTACTGGCACAGAATTGAACCACACACCCATGTTTATTACCATTCTGACCAATACACTGTTTTTTTCTGTCCATTAAATATGAATCTTTCCAGTACTTCATAACACATCTGCGCATAGTGGCCACAGTAGGGACTACCGTAGGGCCTCCTGCATATGGACCACCACCCTTTAGGGCAGTTTGCAACCTTGGGTTTGGGACCCTAGGTGAGGTCACCTGAAATTCAAACTATTATTTCACTTTCATGAATATAAATGCAAATAAAATGCAGCATATAAAAATCTATGAGTTTATGCATCTTGATTGACAGCTGCAAACACCTGATTGCACGAGTGATAGCTACTAAAATGTCAAATGTCAAAATTGGGTCATGAGCCAAAATAGTTGGAAACCACTGTGCTAAGGAAAAAAAAAAATCTTTTTTTTTTTCTACAAAAATGTAGACATTACAACATTCTGTTGTGGGAAACAGCATGAATGCCAGGAACTCTTATATGCTCACATTTTCATTTCATTTCAACAGACTCGCATCTCTAAAACAAACCAAGGCTGATCCTATTTAAGCAGCTGACACTGACTCGATGTATGTGAATGCACGTTTTAGTATTCAGACGGCGTTTGCCGTTTCCCCTCTCTTGATCCTCCAAATGGGACCTTGGATTCAGTGATGGGTTTGTGGCTTTTTCCACAGGAACACAGAGCTGCTGCGAGGGAGGCTGGAAGGTTAATCTATCTACGTTTGAAGTCGGGTGACGACTCTTTGACTGCGTTTCTCTTCTCTCATCGCTCTCTTTATGTCTTTTTGCTCATCTCTGTCTGTCTTGTCTCTAACACACAAACACAGGTTAGGTCTGCTGTCTTTGTAAGGACTCTGCAGGAGCGTTAACTTGGATTGATTTGCAGTGGGAGACGATAAAAATATGCCTAGGCGATAAAAAAAAAATCAAAGTCATGATCGTTCCAATTAACCGTCTCCATCACAGAATCTATGCCACAAACTAAAACAAAACCTGGTTGGTCGGACTCGACTGTAGCTATAATTTTTGATTATTACTATTGAAGTTCAGCACATATGTTACTGTTAAAAGTTACTGGTGTCTGGTCTTTTGTGGTATAATATAAATATGATTAAAATAAAAGCCTGAGGGGCTGAGTGATCTTTCAAATGTGGATAATTTGAATAATTTCAGCCCTGCAGCCCAAGTGAACCCTGATAGGCTGAAAACACCATCACAGAGATAAATCATTTGGTATGGTTATGGCAGCAGTCTAATTATAATGTAATTACCAAAATAAAGACACGGACGTCCTGACAGGCAGCAGCAGAGGATTAAATGTGTAAATCAATATGTTCCCCTACTTTGAACAGACTTAATTAGCTGACAGAGGACACTGTGTAACATCCAAGCTGAGTGTTAACTTGTACTGACTCACAGACCAGGGATGCTTCTTGTTTTACAGGAGTGAAGGTGACATCAATTTTAGATCTTTTTTAAAAAAACAAAAAACAAAGATTGCTCCTAAAAAATAATATTAATAATTCAATTCAAATTACACATTTTTAACAGTTTAAAAGCAAAGGACAATCACAATCTCCAGGCCCCAAAATGAATTGCTATCTAAGAAAACATTTTATATATAAATATAGTTTTCTTCCCTTTTCCAGGTCTGTCATCTCACTTTAAAACAAGATCGTTGGTTCATTACTAATTGCTTCAACATCATTCAGATTTGGCACCTGTATTTTAAATTGTTAAAAAAGACAAAATGACTGCTATTTTATTTCAATCCTGATTCCTGGTCTTATATATATATTTATAATATATCTCTAACATATATTTTTTATAATTTGTGAAGTTGGTCTACAGCATTTTCCCAGTGTGAACCTTAAAACCTCAATCTCAGACAGTTTGAAAAGGTATCTATCATTTTTTTGAGCTTGGGTAAAGTTCAAATTGTTGATTGTAATCCTGTTTAACCCTGCCACCAGGGGGCGTACCCGTTATCACTCATAATGGAATCAAATTAAAGCTGGATTTGGAAAGTAATTGTTTTTGTTTAAAAAAATGGAAAAAAAATGAAATAAATCTCAGTGAGTGAATTGATTATCTTTATTGTATTGGTAATTAAAAAAAGAAGAAACTAAATATTTATATTTAGTTTCCTATTTCAGAACCACTACAGCCTTTCATTACTTTGTGTATTTATTAGCTTCAGATTCAGAACAGCTCATCGGTGCAATAATACTGTGACTAATTCGGGGACAGGAAACAAGCTAACCTTCCACTGCTTTCTATCAAGTCAGTTGATTTGTGCAGCAGAGTGCTGGAGTCTGTTGCTTCAGCTCACTTAGTTAATTCTTTCCACACTGAGAGCTGATGAGTGAGAGGAGGAAGGAGAGACGAGGAAAATACCATTCGGTGCTTCTGTGTTCTCTAATGCTCAGATTGTGTCGTGTTGCTTTTAATCTGCGGAGCTCTCCAGCACATTAACACACTGGTTTGGAATGAGGGCAGAGGGTGGACCTGTCTTTAACACTGACTGCAAACAGCAGCAGAGCAACAGAACTGCACTAAATTCAATCAGCAGCAAGCTTTCGTGTCCAGGCAGAATTTAGGTGACGAGCCATTCTATTGGCTAAGACACGTCTGCCCTTCAGTGTTTTCTATTTGCTACTGGCTATTTGACAACAAGTCAAAACAAATGGCCATAGGAAAGGGATTCCATAGGTGGGGTCCACGACCTGCCACTAGGGAGTGCTCTTTAAAGTGGTGTAGTACCATACAATAAAGATGTGAGGATGTGAAGAAGCTGGCATTTTACTTAAAAAATAAAGTTAGGATATATATGTGTGTGTGTGTGTGTGTATGGTTATTTGAATATAATTAAACATGCCACTTTTAGGTGGGGGGATTTGGAGTATAGAACAAGGTGTGTGGCCAAAAGTTTGCCATAAATAAAAAAATAAATAAAAAAGAGAAGAAGAAAAATACTTTTTTACTTTCATTACTTTTGGTACTGTTAACTAAAACTGTAAACACTTTACTACTTTCATTACTTTTGGTACTGTTAACCAAAACTGTAAACACCTTTAAAATTTAGTTTTCTATACTGGCAGTGTAAACTGGAGGTACAAATATACTCTGTGTAAAGTCTACTTTTTTTAAATAAAAAATCCTGCTTCCTATATTTTATGACCATTTCCCATTGGTCACAGTGCTAAATTGAACAATAAATACCCAGATTCATAAACAGCTCAAGGCAGAATACCCAATGCCTTTATGTCGGCTCTAACATTTTTCAGAGAGGTTAAACAAAAACAGCTTCATCATGAAGTGTCTGGTTGTCTCCCATCTTATTACTCCAGCTGCCAGATTCAAAATGAGCATTTGGATGTGATATATTGTTGATTTCACAGATGACTCAAAGAGAACAGAAAATAAAAAGGGGAATTAGAGAAACGGCTGAGGCACAAGGGTGCGACCTCTCTCTACTTACCACTTCTTCTTCTGCACCACGATTAGAAACTGAGAAGCAAATAAAACTCTGCTGCGGCTCTCTATTCACAAGCCGCTGTAAAAACATCCTGATTCTCTGCCTAAGGGCACAAGAATAAAATGTGTAAACATTCTTGTAATTGCAGGCGGCGTGCAGCTGTCATCACAGTAATTTAACATTATTGCCACATTGGCTGCTGTGGGTTAGACAAGCTCCATGAAGAAGTGGTCTCTGATGACAGTGGGGAGAAAAATAGCCAGGGTTAGGACAGGTCAAAGGTCAGCCGATCAATTACTAAGGCCAAACTGCAGAATCATCAACAAAGATTCCAATCCAGTATACAGTGTTAGAGCTAACATGTTGGTTACAATATGAATCGATTTCAAACGTGTTTTTATTCCGAATAATGACTAAAGAATCTCTTGTCCTTCTCTTTTTCTGCTACATGCTCGTGTGACAGCTTTGATGCTCTTCATAAAGGCTGAATCTCTCAACAACAGGCCTCTCCACTCCTCCGTGATGAAAGCTGCTATGAATACATGCTTTGATCTTCTCTATCTTTGCTGTCTGCTCCACTTTATTTCTCCTGCTCTGACGCACAGGTTCTACACAGTCATTGCAAAACACTGCAGTGACGACCATTTATGTAGACAGCTCATGAAGACGCCTGATCCTAACCATATCAACATAATCCCCCTCGCTGGATTTACCTGGCACACAGCTTGTCGACTTGGAATCTTGACCACTGAACCCATTAGGGACTACAAGTTATGACAAAGCCATTCTTATACCAAGTGTTGGATTTCTTTCTGGATCCTGGACTAGGGAAGAAAAAAAACAAAGGTTACATTTCCTTTTAGGTGAAATAATTTATACATCAATTCTTGTTATATTTTAGCAATTTTAATGCTGTGCTAATGTTTGTTACATTCCTAGATAGTTAACATGAACACGTTTCTCTTTGTTTTGGCAAGCTAAAGCTATTTTTTCTATATTTCTTCTGATTGACACTGTAGCTCAGTCCAACAACTTTATGCCTATTCTATTTTAAGCCATTCTATGCACAACCTATGGTTAGTTTCTAGAACATTTGCTAATAATTTAGCCAGGTCTGCACTCCATAAATGATATACAGTACATATATGCATGACTACTGCTCTTGAATGTCAGAGAGAACATGATCTGGGATATTATACGATCTAAAGCCTGGGTTGACGGATGAAAAACCATCTAAAAATCAATTATAGAAGATATGAAGTGGTGATAAAGACACGATGAAACCCTGAAGTCATCCCTCATTAGAGCCATGATGAAACAGGGAGACAGAGACTGGCCCTAATCCGTGAGACCCCGACATGAGTGGAATAATAATTCAGGAAACCCATAATAACTCCACCCAGCAATATCATTGCTATTCACAAAATCCAGATATAGAAATAAGTTTAGGTTAGGGTTAGGGTGAAGTGACAATAGATCTTTAGCAAGATGTCACTTTAAAGCCTCAGCTCAGTTTCCAGGAGAAGCTTTTTTGTTGTTTGTTTTTTTTGTTTTTGTTTTTTGCTGCTACTCTGGAAATTAGAAGGACAAGCACTCAAAGAGAAATATGAAAAAGAAACAGACCATTTTCGTTTATCAAAAAGCTTTCACACAATGAGTTCCAGGAGCTGTTTGTTGACAGCCGAGTTTAATCCCTGCTATTCAAAGATGAAACACTTATCTCATAAAGCAGATATTCACATCAGGCCAGCTCAGTCAGTTTGTAGCCTTTTCTTTTCTCCAGAAATGACACAGACTCTGGAGAATAAGAGTTTTAGAATAATTTGTTGTTTCTCACTTTAACAGGTAATGAGGTGGAAATTAATACTTTGACAGTTTTAAGGGCATTTGATAGCAGATAAATGATCGAAGAGCTAAAGAATGAGAAGAGTAGTTCTCTTTTCATACACAGTATCTGCAGTGCTAATTCACAGGCCAGGTTTAAGAAATGGACAAAGCCATTTGATTACAAAAAATTACCTCATTACCACATTTGTTGTATGCAAAAAACAAACAAACCAAACAAACAAGTGCAAAGAAGATATATATGGAATTGAAGTTATTCCACTTTAATGCAGACAAAATGATTTCTAAAAAATGCACTCTACTGTTGTGTTTTCTACTCATTTTAACTTCACCAGATATTTGAATGGTTCCAATAGTAGTCATTGTGGTTAATCATAATACCTGGCAACCATGTATTTGTGCTGTGTACTTGCCTAAAACTGTAAAACAGCCACTGCTAAACTTGTGGGTTTGTGAGTTTAGCGTTTATGCTAAACTGTTAGCACTCACTGTTCCTCAAACTGTTCCTTTTATTTTCATAAAAAAGTGTATAAATGAGACTAATGGCACTCTCATAAAGCTAGGGTTGGGTAGCATGCTAACCACAACAGAAAGTTGTTAGCAGTCAATTGCACAGACCAATACTGGTCGCTCAGTAGTCCAAAGTCTCCAATTGGCTGCAGGCAAGCATGAAAGACTGCAACAAGAAAAGGAAAACATTATACTTCCCAGCTTAGAAACTTCATAACTCACCACAGATCACATTTCTTAGGATTTGTTTTGAATCTTTTCTGTTGCATTTTTTCCATTTCAGTGTAAATACTGTTTGTAATCTTTCCTTTCTAGTTCCACTGCAGATTAATCCATGCTTTATGACAGTGAAGTTCATTCACAGGTCTCTCTTCAGCTGCAGTTTTCGGTCTCTGATGTGCTGTAGGAGAATCTTCCCTCTGAGCTCCACCGTTTCTATGAGAGGCCTGAGTCCACCGACTCCACCCCGACTGGCCCAGAATTGCCCGTCTGTGTATAGGGAGCGTAGAAGAAGACTCTCCAGACACCCTGAGCGGAGCACGGACACAGCCTTCTCTGGAAACCTGACAAAGAAGTTATGATTCAGAGTTGATTTTCCAGCTTTGAACAGATGTAGAATTTTAAAGGAGCAGTTGATATTTCTGCATAAACTAAATCTAATGAAACATGATGCTGGAAAGGACTTTTTATCAAACGTCCATAAATACACTGAATTTTCTACCAAATATTACACTTGATTTATTACACTTTTTTTAAACCTACAGTAAGTTTGATACTTACTCGTGGATCCCTTCCACCAGCCGGAAGTTGAGATTGTCAGCTGACTGCCGTGGTCTGCCTGCGTTGTCGATGAACACCAGTCTGGAAGGGTCAGCCTTTCTCACCTAAACACACACAGTCACACAGAGATGTATAAAGACCCTCATCAGGACTGGCCACAGTGGTCGTCTGCATAGTGATGTCACACAAAACTCAAGAAACGTCACCAGAGCCTTGAAGAGCACAGAGTTGATCCAAGGTGTTGAGGGTTTCAGAAAGTTTAAATCTAATCCGGTGGTTAAAAAGATTGAAACAGTAAAATTATAATGATTATAATTAAGTAGTGGATGTTGGACAAATGGAGACAGCTGCCAAGTTCAGACTTCAGAGCAGATTGATGAAATGACTGAGGACAGTAGCATGGTGGGTCTAACAAAGGGTGAGACAAGAGATAATGTAAAATGAAGGCAGATGATTGGCTGTGGAGACCTGTCAATGATACGGACCAGGATGTGAACCAGCAGCAGCTCCTTGGTGTTCCGACACTTGGCCTGCAGGAGGTTCTCCACACACTCTTCAGTGGGATCAGGTGTGAAACCACAGCAGTATCTGTCCAGACGGTCATTCACCTGCACCAACAACATAATGAAAATGAATGAGAAAACAGCAACATTTCCCAAAGAGAATCTTCACATTCCCACTTCTGACTACCACTGCATTGCTGAATCCTGACAACTTAAGGGTTTAAGAGAAAGAGCAGGATGATCGTACTGAGTATTGATTATAATCTTAAAATTAATTTCTCAGTTCTTTCTCAATATATGTATGAAAGCCACACCTGGCAGCTGGGAACCAGGGGATACTGTAGTTCAGACAAGCCTGAGCTGGTCACCTTACTTCATGTACGGAGTGGAAAATGACTGCAGCGCTGCCTTAAGGAGGGAACGAGTATCGACTTATTCCTCTCGACCCCGCCGAGTGTTAGTGAGCGTTAAATAAATCAATATCATAATCAAATTTGAGGTTTGTAGCTCGGTGCTGAAATAAAGTTCCGACGAGCTCAGTCTCAGCTTTAATTCAATCACCGTCCCACAAGCTAAACTGCAGCCAAGTCATGAGTAATCATAAGCTGTCAGACTGAAGGCCTGAATGCTACTTCATCATCACGGAGCTGGTTCTGATCCATAAATGTCTATGGCTGTGTTAGTCAAGAGCGAAGAGCCAATCAAAGAAACTTGTGTTGGGTCCAGATACATGCTAACTAAATAAAATATAAAAAAATACAATTATAATATTTGATGTCTGCACATTGTACTGATATGAAAAAATGCACAGAAATACAAATGAAAGCTAAATGCTAGTTTTAAAGAGCTCGCATTAAAATAGCTTTTTGTGGGTTTTAAACATAGGTCACAAAGGTCAATATTCCTATTCCTGAATGAAGTGTTTAAGTAAACATCATTAACTAACAATCACAGGGATCAGAGCCAAAACTTTAAGAAGTATAAAGAGGAAATTCAAATGGAAAGAAATCAGACAGCAGATGAACAATCAGACAAATTTAAAAAGTGTTAATATAGACTCCATATACTTTTTACTGTTTTAATACAATATTTCATTAATGCTGAAATGGAAGTATTATTAAGACATGTACAAAGGTGGTTTTATGAGGTGTCAGCCAATGTTCATTGCACTTGCAACGATATTTTGAAAATGTTAGCAAAATGCATGTTCTAGAAATTCCCAAAAATGCAATCAGATATTATATATATACAGTTACAGATATATCAAATGTTATGTAAATTATAGTAAAAGTTATCAAATACATTCCTTGCAATAAGTTAACTGCTAAAAACAAAGACGCAAGTTTGCTCATTTCTGAGGGGACAAGAGCCAATGTAATCTGATTACTGCAGGTCTGGATTGGAGAAATTCCATTTGCTGTTTACAGATATTTTAATATTGGTTTGAGTCAGATACGGATATATCGCTGTGACGGAGATCTGTGTAAAAATCCTCAGATGTAGAATTAAGCACCTGAACCTATAACAACTGTATTCTATATCCCTACTCCTGTGTCATTCCACACTGTGTTAAGTACACTCACTGGCATTTGATATTTTTTTTAATCAGTGAATTAGACCTCACACACACACACACACACACACAGTTTACGGTTTGTTGCACTTTAATTTGGTGTGGACTCTGACCACGGCAGTCCTTCCCTGAGGCCTGTGTGTGTTCGGTGGCAGTGTAAGTCAATATTGGCTCAGGTTCCACTAAACTGTTGCAGCCAAGTCCAAATCACTGTGGCAGAGGAAACGAATGTGGCAGCAGAGTGAGAAAAACTCCCGAAAGCAACGTCGAGGTGAGAGAAAAGTGAGTGGAGGTTGAGTTCCACTGCACAGTACACACACACACACACACACACACATGTACATGCAATTACAGACACACACACAGACACACACACACTATGTAACTGTGTACCTGAAGGCAGATCTTGTCATGTGTTTGCTTCTAAATGTGTAAAAATAACGACAGAGTGTGAAAAACACGCCTCTCACTCTGCTCAGATCTCGTCATATTGTTAATCAGACCATCAGTTGCAGGATGTGGAGGATCAACTTCCTGTTAGTAGACTTCTTCTTATGTGAAGCCAATTTTCTTTTCACTTTCATTCACTGTATCATTAATGGCCCATCAAACATACTGTGATTTTGTGAAACCACTTCAGAAAAAAAAACCCCAACTCTTTTCTCCTTCAAAAAGATTGATTTCCACTAGTTATTATTATACATTTCATTTTGACACTTCTATTTGGAGCCTTATACATTATAAATGGAATTTATGCGTAATAATTCTTTCCTATAAATATATTTATAATGTAGATCCTACAAACTAAATGATTGTGAACTACCAAAGCAGCCCAGATAAATGTCGATAAAGAAAGTCACACCGAGGGTCCAGTGCTCTCCTTCACTTTTTTCTCACACTAACTGTGTTGGAATTAAACAAACACTTGTTGCTGAGTTTGGCTTCATCTCTCATGAGTAACTGAGTGACTCTCAGCCATCTCTTATCACTGACACCGTTCTCATTTTTTTTTCTTATCATGCAAGGTCATCTATGTTACACTTCATATTCGTTGATGACCTTATGATACAATACATCAGCGATGAGGCCCAGAGGAGGAGAAGCAGCACCGACTGCTGTTGTCAACATGATGTACAGTGACAGACGGAGCAGACTGGACTGTTAAATGTTATTTTTCTGATCTTTCCCTGCAGCCTGGCAGCACAGGGACGTTGGTGTGGTTCAGGAGAAGGCACTGAAGACGCTCAGAGCTGACCTTTACTGCACCAGCTTTGACATTTACCGTCTCTCACTCCTCTCACCACTATCCCTCAGCACAAGGAGATGTCACTGAAGTTGTTTTTAGACATAATGTTCAGGGAAATTTTATACCTGTTTAAAATGTCACGCCCTGACATTCCCCTGTCCTGGATAAACTTAAAACATTGAAGCTTTGCCCCATGCTCCAGGTTTTAAATTTAAAATTTAAATTTGCCCCATGCTCCAGGTTTTAAATTTTCATAAAATGAAAGAACATTTGACAAAAAATGACATCCCTGACATCCCACAGAATTCTACAGAGGCAGAATTCCCTGATGGACATGTAAAACATGGATTATTAAAAATAATCACTTTGTCTTAAAACATACATCTTTAGCTAATAATTCAGAAAATATATTTTTGGTCCAGCCACTTTGATTTACTTTAAAATCCAATAAGACAAAGACACATACAGTATAGTTCCTGGTACTGATGTTGGTTCCTGTGTCCTCCACTGCTGATTTGCACAGCTGTGTGTGTGTGTGTGGTCTAGTATAGCTATCCTTGTGGGGACATTTTTGTGGTCAAACGCCATGTTGTTGAAACCATTTGCCGTTTGTGGGGGTGTATTTCAGGTCCTAATGGGAGTGAAGGCATTTCAAGGTTTAAGATTTGGACTGGAGTTAGAATCAGAATCAGAAACGTTTTTATTGGCAGGTAAGTTTTCATCTTCGAGGAATTTGTTTTGGCATACGGTGCAGCGGGCCAACAGTAAGGTACAGTGTGTAATATGTGGAAATATGTTAGGATTAAGATTAGGCATATATTTGTAATGGTATTGTTAGTGTGAGGGCTAAAGTATTCATTATTGCCTAGTGAATTCCTCACATTTGAAAAAAAAAAAACCAGACTGTGTGTGTGTGTTTGTGCTCTCTTCTATTTGAGCTCAGGGAGTCAGTGAGGGAACGGGTCGGAACAAGAGTTAAGAAGCCGCTCATCGGCTCTGGGCAGATCAATAGGAGGTTATTAGAGCTCAGTCCTGTTACAGGGATTGACTTCTCACTGTGAGGAGCTGAGAGCAGCCTCAGATTCAGCCCTGCATGGGCTGCACACCAGTCATACAGTACACACACATGATATTTCTAGTGCAGGCCAGCTGTGATTACTGTGAGCTGCAGCCAAACAGGAAGACGTCAGCAGAGCAACACAGAGAAGGAGAAACAAGATACAACAAGGATTCTGCAGGAAGGACCGAAGCCTGTAGTACATTTACAGTACTGGTCCAGGTGTGACAACAACAGTAGAGCGGTACAGCTAATAGACCAGAGGTCTACTGGGCCACTGCTGCCACAGTAATTTCACTAGGGGGCCACATTAGTTTTCAATGACCAATACAAAAAAAAAACATTGCTTAATCATGTAACTACTACTGTATATAATACAAACAATGCAAGTGAGTACAATTAATGAATAAACAAACAGAACAATTTAAAATTAAAAAAATAAAGACCTAAATTAAATCATTATGGACATCTACTTGTGGGCCAGATTGGAGGGTTCGTGGGCTGAGAGTGGCCTGCGAGCCAGGGGTTTGAAACTTCTGACTAGACTAAGATTCAGCTATTGCTAATATTGTGGTATTTTTCTGTTTTGTTTTGCTGGATTTTGGCATAATTTTACTGAGCTTTGGACCAATTTCAAGTTAATATGTATCAAATGAGTAGCTTTTTATCAAAACCATGACCGTCCTCTAACGATTCACTGCAGTTTACCAGATCTTCTAGTTAACTGTCTTTCATTAACTTTCTTTAAATTAGCATAAGCTTTTTTTTAACTAACTTAAGCTTAGCTCAATCGCTTCATATTTGCTTAATTTGCCAAATAATAACAGTGAAAATAGAAACGGTCATTACCTGTAATAAAAAGTCGAAGAGAGCCAGTCTCTCCCACTCTGAGTGGTGGACTCCCACACAAGCCTCTGACCTGAGGTCTGCTTCACTGCCACAGTGGAGCTGCAGCAGCTGCTGATACTGAACCCAGCTGAGTGGCACCGAGTTCTGATCATTGTCTGTGTCGGTGAGGTGCTGGATGTCTGGGTCCCACCACACCACAGGTCTGGGAGTCCCACTGGTGAACCGATATGGGAGAATTTCACTGTGGAAAGTCCTAAGTACTGCAGGGAGGCTGCGGTTCAGTCCCAGCACTCTGTCCAGGTGGAAGGCAAAAACCTCAAACCAGTCATCGGTGCGCTTGATTAGGGCACAGTGACCCTGCTGACAGCTTTCTTTAGGGGAGTCTGGATGTTTCTGAGGTGAACCAGTCACCTGAGATGAAAAAAAACAAACATGACATTTTAAGGCAGTAATGGCTGATAATAGGAGAGAGAGTGAAAGAGAGAGAGAGAGTCAGTCAGTTTCATTAATAATGGAACAGTATAAAGGATGGACAATGTTGAAGTGCAAGGTCTTCTGAGTGTAGTCTAAAGGAATACAAGCAAATCGATATATTCAGCTGTGTCCCAGTTCACACTCTGCAGCCAAAATCAGTTAGTTAATTAGTAGACTTTTCTGGTCATAAGTAACCTGTTTACAATGTTCACAGAAAGGGCAGCAAAGGCAGAATGATGTGTACTGTCAATCAAACCATTCCACTGTCCATCCACGTTATTTATTTGTATGTTATTTGTACACAGTGCAGGAAAAATGTTCATTTCACCCAAGAACTTCCTGTTTGAAAATTCAGCTCAACGTACAGCATCAGTTTACCACAGACTTTACACCATGTAATAACGTTGAGGGAAATATTAAAATATAACAACCCAGGGTAACGATCAAAGTCCACCAACTTTATCGAGCAAACCTTCAACTTATACTTTGGCATATTTTTTCCTGATATAGATTAGTAACCAACAAAAACAGGTGTAACACACACCTCTGCTGCTGATCCAGACATGTACAGAAATGTCTCGTCATACTATAGAATGTTAATTTATCTTGACTTGATTGATTATCGTGATTAATTACAATCATGAGTAATCATTTCACAAACCTTGAGATGTGGAGGTTCCAGAGCCACTTGGAGAACCCGTCCATGTGCAGGAACTCTGGCCTTACTCTCCACCTCACCTCCAGCCAGGAGCTCCATCTTCTCAATGTCATCCTGACTGAACCAGGGATGATTCTGAGGATCTGGGCTGGTCCTGATCCTCCTGTTATCATCACCTGGAAAGTCCTGCTCTGTTAACCTTTGACATCTGCTGCCGTCTCCCCACTCACCAACTTCCTCCACTTTAGTCATAGTGTTCTTGTGAAGTGGATCTTCAGAGAAATGCTGGTGTTTTTTAAGATTTCTGTTTGGTGTGTTCACAGCCTGCTGCTCCTGAATGATTCTATCCAAGTGATTTGGTGCCTGTGTGTTTTTACCCACATCCTGCTGATGTTCAGCTGGTTCTGAACCTTTATGTCTGTTGTGTAGTTGTGTGTCTGCATTCCTGTTTGCGTGTGTGTCCCTCCTTGTGCCAGTCTGTCTGCGTGCACTTTGTCTGTCACTTATTACGGCCTGTGTCTGAGCAGAATTCTGGGCTGTGGTGAATTTTCTCCTTTCAGCACGAATGTGTGTCTCTGCTGTGTGTTTTACCACAGCACTGCGGTCGCTCGGCCTAATTCTATGCTTTGGTCCAGTGTTGTTGGCTGTAAAGTGTGGGAGCTGAGGACCATGTTGAGGACGGGCTGGGTTCTGCATGGCGCCTGCCGTCTTTTCATTTTTCTGTTTATGTCTGTTCACAGATGTGGATCTTTTCTCTTGCTCTGTTTTTGTCCTTCGGTCGTGTTCATTTGGTGTAAGTGACACCGACTGCTTCTTTTTTGCAGCGCTGCTTTTCCACTCTCTGTTGTGGATTTGACTGAGCCTGTCTGCAACATGTGCAGCTGGAGGCAGATTCACTCGGATCCTGGAATATGAGCTGGATCTGACCTCCCCTGCAGAACTCAGGACCCGGGCAGCGCGGAGCGCTGGGCGGAGAAGGAAAAGGCAGAGTGACGGTCATCACTGAGATGGTGAGGAGGAGGATGAAGAACGGACACAGGAGGGGGAGGTATTTTTTAGCACGGCAGAGTTTTGACCACACCCGCCAGGCCTACACAGAAGAGAAAAGCAGAATTATACGTTGGAGGGAAACAGAAGCATTTGCTCCAAACAGAATAATGGGAGGTTAAATAAAGGCTGCAGGGTCACGTGGGAAAACCAGCGCACTCACAATTTACAATCTGCACAGAGGGAAGGAGCAGAGAAAAGAAGGAAACAGTTTCCAACCACATCATGTGCTCTGTGCAGTCAAATCACCAGAGTGAGTTTGACATTCGAATGTGATTATTGGTCACAAAGGAAATAGGGAGAACCAGACAGAGCAGAAAGGCAGAGAGGAGAACTGAAGCTGGTGACAGTCACGGTGTTTCTGCAGCTCTGAGCACAATCAGATTTATACAACACACCAACAAAAGGTTCAGCTGAATTACCAGTGTGCACATACACACACACACACTGACACAAGAAATAAAAATTGCAAAATATCTCCACAACAAAAGGTTCAGCTGAATTACCAGTATATAAAAATTGCAAAATATCTCCACAACAATAGTATTTTGTGTGTCCCCACAAGTACAGTTTTACCAGAAACATACACACAGGCAAAAAAAAGGTCTTCATGAGGTACATACACACACATACACACACATACACACACACACACACACACACACATACACACACACACACACACACACACACACACACAGATTCAAAAACCTTGAAAATGTCCCCAGTACAGCTTTACCAAGAACAAAAACACATCTTTGTGTTTTCTTCATTTAGACATACTCCATGCCGAGCCCTTACACTAACTATTATAACATACCCCAATACTTCTTTTTATGATGACCCTAATCTGACCTTAATTCTAATCTTCACTCTAAATTATTTATTCCACTGTTAAATAATTTATCACTTAGTGGGAACCTGCACAAAGTCCCCGCAACAATAATATTATTATATATAAAAAAACGACAGTAATGTACTGTACCTTCACCGAGAACAATCACATGCAGACTAACACACACACACACACGCATGCAGGGCCACAGTACACAGTCTTTTTGTCCCTTCATATACTGGCTGTAACATCCAACAAAGTAATCCCTCAGCTCCAACCAGCTCCTGTCTTTTTCTATTCTTATCATGATGCACATAAAACAAGAAGACACAAACTGTCTCACACACATGGACATATCTGCTCAGCTGTTCTGTTTGAAACCAGCATCATTTGTGATGTGACAGAAATAGAAGTGTGATCCAAGTACTAGAAGCATGACGAGAGCACACTGACACAGACCGTATATAAGAAATGGATGTTAATATGTAGCTGCAAAAGTGAAGCTGCAGAGGCAGACTGGAGGCAGAGCTGCTTTGCTAAAAGTAACGTTGTTTGAATTGAGGTTAAAGGGAAACCAAAACACAGATTATCAGTACAGTTATAACTTTCTCTAATCAGTTTTGTAGTTTTTGTTTCACAACTGCTGAGCTGTTTCTAAGGCAACTTCTAGTTATCATTGGGGGTATTTTTTATTTAGCTCTCGCTTAGACAAATTGATGACTTTTTTTTGCTCACTTTTATGTGCCATCTGTTGGCCCATTTTTGTTTATTTTTTGCAAATGTTCTTACATTTCACAAGGAAACACAGTTACGTCTTATCTATTTTCTACTTTTGGGATTTACAGTGAGCCACATCATGGCCAGAGAGGTTACTGAGTCTGTTCAGTCCTAGTTAGATTATGTTTCCAATGTAGTTGAAAAAAAAAAAAAAACACTACATGGCATAACAATTTACAAACCTGACAATGTCTTCTACTGACTTGAACTGATTGATCAGGACCACAAATGTTTGTCACAAAAATAAGATGTACAAATCAATGAAGGTTTGTATACTGCAGGGAGCAGGACAGCACAGGTTGATCCTTTTCTATAAACAGTGTATGGCTTCAACAGCATCTTCTGGTTCTGAAACCCCGTAAACAGACAAACTAAATTGTCAGGGTGACTGCTGGTTATTCCTCTTCATGCAGGGTGGCCCATCAGTGGAAAGACCAACAGCAAAAAGAGGAAACCCATCTCAGGAATGAATCTTCCTTTCATTCCCCCAAACCTGGAATCATGCCCAGTCAACACGAGCAACTCAAACATGAACCCTGCCCCAGTTTTCATCCTCACCTACACTGTATGAGAGGAGCCGCAGCTGAAAGGCTGCTCTTTTCATTTCTCTGTGGAATGACCCAGATTAATGCAGCATCTCCTCTCTGGGCCCTGGCTGCTCTGGACGTCCACCTCCCTTCACTTCACTTCAGGCTGCAGGAATGTTTTAAACCCTTGAGACGTTCTCTCCATCTCAGAGCCCTAACGTTCCTAAATTTGTCCACCTGTGAAAGGATCCCATTATTCTTCTGATGGAGTGGAATGTCGTGAACCATGCTGCTTGAGCTGCTAGTCCAAATCTCCATGGAGAGGCTGACATATGATATACACTTAGGAATAATGAGAGTCTTTTGAATGTGAGAGTCGGTTCAAGTCGAATACTGAATATGCACAGTATATACATGATAGAATGAAGTATAAGGTGTATCACAAAGTTTTTGTGCAAATAGCAATATTTTAATTTGATATACAGTAGAAATGTGTATTTAACACAAAATTATAAGGAAGGAAATTTACTTACTATACTACTATATACGTATATGTGTATATATATATACACATATATGTTTACATAAATGTGTGTATATATATATACACATATATATTTACATAAATGTGTGTATATATATATATACACATATATATTTACATAAATGTGTGTATATATATATATATATATACACATATATATTTACATAAATGTGTGTATATATATATATACACATATATATTTACATAAATGTGTGTATATATATATACACATATATATGTATACACATATATCTATACATACAGTACATATACAGTATATTTATATGTGTATATATATATATATACACATATATGTTTACATAAATGTGTGTATATATATATACACATATATGTATACATACAGTACATATACAGTATATTTATATGTGTATATATATATATATATACACATATATATTTACATAAATGTGTGTATATATATATACACACATTTATGTAAATATATATGTGTATATATATATATACACATATATGTTTACATAAATGTGTGTATATATATATACACATATAAATATACTGTATATGTACTGTATGTATACATATATGTGTATATATATATATACACATATATATGTATACACATATATGTTTACATAAATGTGTGTATATATATATACACATATATATGTATACACATATATGTTTACATAAATGTGTGTATATATATATACACATATATGTTTACATAAATGTGTGTATATATATATATACACACATTTATGTAAACATATATGTGTATATATATACATACATACATGACACAGATATGGTATATAGCGTTCCTCCACTCACTTGTTTATTGTAACACCTGCCCACCAGCACAACAGCTGGAGGAAAGAAGAAGCCTGTGTCCAGCTGGAGACACAAACTACAAAGTCATAAAACGTATGATTCATGTGATAAGACCGGGCGAACTTAAATTTTCATGTGTTTGGACTGAAGTGTCACACACTCTGACCTGCAGAGTAAATACTTCATAAGGCGAGGAATGCATCTGGTGGTAGATGCAAACCCTTACACACGCACGCGCATCAGCATGTGCGTTCACACACTGCACCCACCGCTGAGATAAGAATCATATTCCCTTTTAACGACA